TTATTGCAGTCATTATCAGGGAAACCACATGATAAAAAAAATGGTCAGAACAATAAAGGATTGGGAGGATCACTCCCACATTTTTTTCTTAGCAGTTTGCTCTTGTACGGGAATTATCAGTTGAGCAGCCTCTGTGTATCAAAGACTGACTAAACATTACAAGCCCACCATTTCCTCTGTAATTAATGTAGCAGTTGTACTTCCGGTTTTATTGGTTTGCTTACAAATTTCTCTCCCTCTATTTTGGTACAAGTTACAGTACAGGAGCAAGGTGCTGTGCTACAAATATTAGTTCTCAAGGCTTTGAGATAAATTAGATAATGCCATAATTCTGTTTTTGTGTTGCAATAAATAGGGAAATGACAAAAAACAGCTTATTTACCAGAACACTGTCATGCTGACCATTGTAAAACTTCTGGTGCTGACTTCTGCTTAGTAACATTTTATACAGCAGAAAATTTTTTAAGAGAACCCTCTCATGTTACATTTCCTCTTGCCTGAACTCTGCCAGTGAAAACAGAGCACTCAGCGAGGCAGCTGCAGTTCACCCACTACCCTCAGGCAAAGGCAGTCAATGTTTCCCTTTATTTAATATCTAAATACATCTGAATACTGCGTCATGCTGAAGACGATGAAATTGGTTTGTTACTCTTTAATGGTGCTTTTTTATATTAAATAATTAGGAATGGAAAATAGGTTGAGGCAAGAAATCAGAGTGTGTTTGTATGTGCTGCAATTCCAGCAACCTCAGTTTCCTTTAAGTTGGTCAGTAATTAGTTTCCTTTCCTATTTGCAACCTCATATGAACCAGTACTGGCACATTTAATATTTTCTGAAAAAACTCTAGTGATACTACACATTTTGAACTGATGACAAAGTGAGCAGAGAGTGAGAAGTTTTTACTGCTTGAACACATTTTATAAAAAGACTAGTGTTGTAGCCTATGAAGACATTAAGTTTTACTGTTAAGTTTACTTTAATAAGGACTTTTGTTACACTGACACAAATCCTCAAGTAGTGATCTCATACTGCTGCACTCCTGGCACAGCCACACTTTGCTTCTCTCAGGTCCCATGTTCCTACAATAACCAGTTTTCCAGGAGAAATCTAGCTGCATTAACCAGGTGTCTTCTAGTCCCTTAACCTCTCAAACAAACTTCCATTTTCATGTTTCAGAAGGATATTAGTACAAAAAGCATGTGCCTGCACAATGTACTTGTTTGAGATCTTCCCTGCTGCAGGCTTTTGTCTGTGATTGTGGTCACTAATGGATTCTCCAGTTGAAACCTCCCATAACATAAAAATCTGATATGGAGTGAGAAAGCATTTTCAAAGACTATACACCACTCCCTGTGTTTTGAGTAGATCCTACCACACAGTATTGCCCGAAGCATCTGTTCAAATGGGACTGCTTACATAAACTAATGTCATTTGACGTTTCCCTGTTTATTTCCTATTTCAAATAATGATAACTGAGAAATTATAGTTATATTTGATGAGTAGTTTGGACATTAGGAAGTATTTATAGCACAGCACAAATTCACCTACACACACACACACAGGGGTTTGAAATTATTGCAGGGACACATAACCTTGTTAAAATTTACCCACAAATGGTGAATCCCACATGACATTTTGTGCAAATGGAGGTCATTTACACACACATAAAAATTCTTATGACATGAGAGAGTTCAGAGTAACTCGTGTTCTGTGTAAAAGGGTGGGGCAGAATTGAATTCCCTTTTTGTTGTTAAGCAGAACTTGTAACTTTGTTTTTATTATCATTATCTTTTATTTTTATTATTGTATAATCTTCTGTATATACTTTCAAGTTGCAATGCCGTATGATTATGAGGAAAACATACCCCAACATCATCATCGCTTTGGATAAGTTGTGAGTGTCCAAACAGACGTCTCTTCAACATGGGCTCCAGGAGAGTCAGGTAGACCATGTAGAGCAGCAGCAGGCCCAGAATGGAGAGGTACATTATGATGGTAAACTAAAGATATGCAGTGATTATTGGTTAGCATGGCTTCCTTCGACATGCACAATCGAAACATAGAAAACACGTGAGTCAAATATGAGGACTGGTTGTTTTTCTCTATTTTCTAATTATTGAAAAATTATTATAATAATATAATTATTATTTAGACAAGTGAAAAAACAAGTGAAAAGAAAATCAACAATCCCTCACTCTCTGGCGCACACACATGCACATGATGTCAACTCACCTTAATGGTTCCTGAGCTCCTCTCTTCATATTTACACTCACAACGTAAACAGTAGGCTTCCACATCTTTTCCATCCACTGGCATGGGTTCAACTACATGGAGACAGTTACTGAAAAACAAGAAAATAACATTATCAAGCTAGACGGAAGCAGGAAATAAACAGCTCATATCATTTAGGGAAAAGTGTAGTGACGCATCATTATTAACATACCAGTCTTTGAGAGAAACATTTTGTTTGTAGATTTGCCCTGCGATATCTCTGTATGGCGGGCAGATGCATTTACAGCGAATGTCTTCAGAATTCTTTAACAGAGAGATCATACATTTGATCATATACACACTTACATCACACATATTTTAATCTGGCTATTAAGTTTATATTTTTATACATTTCATTTTATTTCCTCTCTTTCCTTCTCCCATTCTGCTGTGTTCTCTCAATTTAAATCATATGAAGCACATTGCTGACTTTGTTTTGTTGTCATCATTATTATCATTAGTCATAGTAGTAGGCACTGAGTAGCACATTCATATGTATTTACTTACTGTATTTTTTAACTCCTCTACTTTTATTTGATAATTTAGTTACTTTGCAGAATCAGATTATTTATTTAAAATATAATCAAAGAAATTCAGAAGCTACCCAGCATCATACAAAAAGTAATTAAAATTAGCTCCAGTTATACAAGCTGCAACACTGAAGTAGACACTAAAGCATCAATAATTATAATCCAATATCACATACATTATTCTGAAACGGGCCATTGTGCATGCCAGTGCGAGTACTTTTACTTTTATTTGAGTAAATTTTTATATGCTTGACTCTTACTTATAACAGAATATACCTACACTGTGGTATTGCTACTTTTACTTATGTAGAAGATCCGAGTACTTGTTCCACCACCGGTAGTAACCTTTGTTTTGATATGTCAACCGTATTGTACCACGGTTGCCATCGGCTTTGTCTTGTTGTTCTCGTGCATGTCTATCAAATCCATGTCACCTTTTTGTGTTTGCTATGTCACACTGCACCAATAAAGCATACTGACTGGTTTAAGATAATACTGGCTACCCTATACAGTATACACACAGTTGGCAATTCATTAGGTACACAGAGCAAAAATTTTCACATTCCTACACAACAACCCTTTAATAACTTCAGCTTTCACGGGCTTAGTTATAACTTTAATATTTCGCTTTTACTGAAACTCGTAAGCTAAAACTCATAATTCGCAGCGTTAGCAACACCTGCCTTTATTTACAGGTGTCCCAAACTCAGGATGTCATTAGTTAGTTTAACATTGCTATTAATACACTTAGCTGCCCAGACTCGAGAGATAATTAATCCTTTAGGAGGATTTACAGAGAAGATATTTCAGTCTACTAACACCATTTTCTCTCAATGTAACGCTAGCTAGCCTAGCTAACATTAGCCTTACCTTGGCTGTCACTTGGCTTAACAGCACAAAACAAGCCAAAGAGAAAGCCTCGATAACAAACATAGTCTTCATCTTCACGGCCTGTCACAGATTTTCAGTCCCCAAAGAAAAGCCGCCCTGATGTTTCATAAAAACAACCCCAGCAGTGTACAGTAAACCCTACCAACTAACAACGTTAGCCATCCAGCTAATTCAGGGATAAACACCCTCAGCTTCCTAGCAGCTGACTTGTAGTTTCCGGAGATGGCGGTCGGTTCCGTGCACGGGACCACACCGATTATCTTCGGTTACTGACGTAAATGAGCGGTGAAATGTTGGACAACGTTAGATATAACCAATTGAGTGGTGTTTAATTTCGGATTCCAATCTATTATTCAACATTTAATCGGTTAGTTTGAATGAATTCTGAGAAGACTTTGGACAACTCATACAAGCAGCTCTATACTCCGCCCTTGTTGGTGACCAGGTGAATACCTTAAGTTTAAAACAAACGCTCCCCTTGGTTCGACATTATTGATGTGGTCAAACTGTGGTCCGTGGGCACCAAGAGGAGCAGCAGTTTAATGTGGTGGTATAACAGCGTTGGATAGGGAGAGTAGATGACAATACATAAGATATATAATAAGTATTATCATGTTGTTATACATAAGAAGTGGTGGAAAGTAAGTACATTTACTCAAGTACCTTACTCAATTTGATCCTTCTTTATACTTCTACTTCACTACATTTCACAAGGAAAAATTGCAGTTTTTACTCCATTTATCTGACAGATGTTACTTTTCATATTCATATATAAAAAAAACATGAACATAAAATACATTCATTGTTAAGTATGAAATTGGTTGTACCTAAATAATCCATCTAAATGTACCTAAATAAGAGAATGGAGCATTGTGTATACTATCTTGCTGACAAGTATATTTAAAGTTTGTGTGTGTGTGTGTGTGTGTGTGTGTGTGTGTGTGTGTGTGTGTGTGAATATGTGAATGAACTATAACTTAAACAATGAAAAAGTTCTGTGAGGCAGGAGAATACTAACACAAAATATGTTTCCTATCTTTATTTACAGCATATTAGATGTACAAAACCATAAACAATATACATACATGTATCATCTAAGACAGGTGAATAGCTCGATTCTATTTTACAGGAGTTTTAAATTCTCTTCATGGACTCTGACCTTATATCATTCAGTTTCTCAAATCACCTCATTCGAGAAGTGAGTGGTTGTCTTTGGTTGCTAGTTCATAATACAAAATGTACTGATGCATACTGGTGTCATTTTGCTGAAGCAGCTGATGTCTCATAAATGCGTAAAATCCACTGTCATTTTTTTTTTTTTTTTTGGAAAGTGAAGGTTTTTCAGGACAGTAGCATTCATTCAGACACCATGGAATATCAAATACATGGGCTGCCAGCAATTGCAGCAACGCTATACTGTCAAAATGTATGTAGTTGCTACATTACAATAGCGTTTCACCTAAAACTTTTTACATCATATACAAAAGATTCATCAGAATAATTGCTTTTGTGGTGCCACTACTTCTTTAGTAGTGCTAATTTTCCCAAGAAAACATTTGTGCTATATTTGTTTCTGACATTTAGCAGTATTTCTGTCAACAACTCATCTCTACCTGTGAAAGTAGCCTATGTTAAAACTAGATACAGTATCACTGACAGTGTACATCTGTTTAGCTACCGTATTGTTTTGTTTTTTTAATATCATAATGCTATTAGCAAAAGTCTCATAATGTTGGCATGTACAGTTTAGCATTATTGAAAAACACAGACTTGTAGTTTGGATTTAAATCCTGAGATGGTAACTTTAAAATCTAAAGGAGGGTATAAAGTCGTTACAAATCTTCTGTTGGTAATTAAACACATTTCCAAATTTCCAAACAAAGGGATTGTGATTCCTTTCTGATGATGCCCATGAAAATCTACGCTCTGTACCACTTCACTGGTCATATTCTCCCCCTTAAAGCTCCAGTTAAAAGTTCACTTGCTTGACTTGTCCACTTCCCCCTCAGGATCAGTTTTATCAAGTGTGTGGTCCACTCTAGTATCACTCCAACAGGTTACTACAGAATACTCTTACAGAGGTCAGTGGAAAAAACAGATACTGTGGCCAGTATCTACTCTAAGTTTATCAAGAAAAATCCAGAAACCCTGTGGGAATCCTTCTTAAGGGCGAAGGAATCTCAGGACTTTGGAACGCAGGAAGCGGATGAAGGATTTAGGGAACATTTCTCTTGATTCTTGAGCTGTATAGTTGAAGAAGTTCTGTGGGTGAGCCAGCACGTCAAACAACGCCTTCATGAGCTTCTTGTCCTGGGGAGAAAATGTATTGTATTAATGGAGAGCAAAGGCATGCAATAGAAGAAGAGACAAACTAACAGCAGCAGCCTGTATTTCTACATGTCTCCAAAAGAGGGCGCTACATGCTCACTGGATCCAAGTACAGGATTTAAAGATACACAAACCAAGGAGTGAAGGGAAGTACTGATCCAAATAATCAATATTATTAACTCAGTTGGGGCACAGGTGTAAAATATAGATACCTTGAGAATTTCCTGGTGATTCTCTGAAGCATATAATCTTCCATCTCTGACTATGTCTTCTATTAATTCTTGGTAGTCCTCTGAAACAAATTTAAGTCCATGAACAACTCATTAGTGTGACAACTCTAATCACATTTGTGGAACAAACAGAGGCTGCAACATCACATCTACAGGACTAAACATCATATTTCTCTTACCATCATATGTCACATATGGGACCTGGAAGCCTTTCCCGCTGTTTCCCTCGTTGGACCTAAACTGGATCCAAAGCCTCTTGGAGCGGGACGTGAAAGCGATGGGACGTTCGTACGTTTGACAAGTCTCGTAGGTTGTCACAGAGTTGGACAGAGCTGTTAAGTAAAGATATCAGCACACAGGATGGCATCTATAATGGGCTTACAACTTTAATGCTGTAATATATTTGCTGTACCCCCCCCCCCCCCCCAAAAAAAAAAAAACAAAAAAAAACAAAAGATTAAAGTTACAGCAAGTTAAAACTCACAGCTTTTTCTCATTACTAAGTAGTCTCCGCACTCATCCTCAATAGGCAGGTAGATTTCTGGGACAACAATAAGGATCCGGCGTTTGGGTGGTGGGTTGATGGTCCAAGTGCATTCAATATTGGCTGGATAGTTCCCCGGGTAGTTGGGGGACTCGATGTAACCAGTAAAATCTCCCAGCTCTCCTCCACATCGTCGGTCTGTGAAGTGACACAGATGTGACAAATACGTTTGTTTTTCTTCTTGGTGCAGCAAGATGAATTATATGGAAATGAATCCCAAACTGCTGCATTATTTAATTTTGTGTACATGTTTCAGAGGTATTGCTGTGTACAGACATACATACTTTTGCATTGCATGATGTTAGTTGAGCCATCAAAGTCGGTGGTGGTATTTCCAGGACAGGCCACACAGTAGTTCTGGCCAAACTCCCCTTGATATGTGCCCATTGGACAGCGGATGCAGCGGTGTGTGCTGGTGTTGTAGTAATGTCCTGGAGAGCACTGGACTGCAGGATCCAAGGATAGTGATAGGGGGGCTGTTATTAATATAATACTTCTCTAAAATGGGTGTTTTTAATGATTTTAGATCAGTTGAAAGATTACATACTACTCAGTGGGTTTAAAAATCTTCTGCCGTGCAGTGTTCAGAAAACATTTTCAAAACCAATTAGATTATACATAAAAATGCATTTTTATCAAACTAAAACCAAAATGTTTCCCCTTATTTCCTGAAAGACTGACTGGGTGTGTAGATTTAAACTGATTGTAATGTACAGATGAAACAACAGCTGCAGAGGGCAGCAGAGCTCCTGTCAGCATCCAAAAGAACTCCATTGACTCAGCACCACATGATACTATTGTGATGTGCAGTGAAGAATGAGTACAAACAAAAAAACAACTACCAATGTTTCACTTTATCTAATAAGTAGACAGATTTTCATAAACTTTCTGAGTTCCAAAAGAAACATCTAATCCCTTCATTTATGTAAAAAACATGAAAAACAAAACAAAACTAAATTGGGTTATTAGGTTTTTAACCCCACAACAACATTAACACAGATAACTTTCACACCTTTGGTCTCACACTCCTGAAAAGTAACAGCACCACTGCGCTTGGTGACCAGGTTCCCTCCACAAGGGAAGCAGGAGGTGCGGCCCACCTCTGGCTGGTACGTTCCCAATGGACAGGGCAGGCAGGGGATGAAGCCGTCATGAGAGTACTGACCTGGGGAACACTGACCTGAACACACACAAACATTTGGTTAAAAGTCAGACTGTGAACTGTGAGACACAGCAAAGGTTTTGACCATTTTTAATCTCTTACAAAGCTCTCCTAACTGCACCACTTGGATTAGTTTCATTTTAAAACTTTTTTTTAAAATGTGGTACATGTGAAATTTAAAAAAAAAAGAAAATACTCTGCCCTTCCATTAAGGTAAGAGCCTGTGGCAAAGCTCAAGCAAATGTTAATGTAATGATGCCGTCTCCAAGTGAACCACCTCTCAAACACTCCCGGGTGACTAATACAAACTAGGTGCCAGTGGGAGTCTGCTGATAGCTCTTCTTGTTTAGTCTGTCAGAGGAGATGGGATCAAGGATTCAGCCCCAAAGTGACTGCGATAACAGCACAGGAGGAGACCAAAACATGGTGGCTCCTTTAGCTTTTATTCAGCCGAGTCCACCTTCTGAATTCAAATACATCTTTAAAATCTGAGCTTGAGCCTCTTTGGCTTTACACAAAGCAGAACATCTGCCTGGGAGAGATCCGTATCAAGGCACAATTGCTTCCTGTGTGGTTCATATACACAAAGCAGTTATTTACATTTTGGGCCTTTATTGCTTTTCCTGCTTTTTGTTATATTATGTTTCTCTTTGGTTTATGCATTTTCAATTTTTTTTTGTATCATTGTTTATTGGGGGCCAAGCCGCAAAGCTCTGTAGGCACCTATTGTGTTTCCACCTCTTCCTCAGCTTCTTTTTCTTCTTCTGCCATGGGAGTCTGGCAGCCCCTAGAACCGTATGGTAAAAAGTTCTGAAATTCGGCACACTGATTTGGGACACTCCCATGATGCTTTTCACCAAGTTCAATGTCTGTGCTTCAAGCACTCTAGCGCCACCAACAGGTCAAAGTTGGAGGTGCGTTCATGCATGTAACTTTTGAACCGTATGCCTGATTTTCAAAAATGGGGTACCATTAGATTCCTTGTGTCATTTTTGTTTTTCTGCACTATTGGAGTTTATGTACATTTAAATTGTAAATTGTTTTTTTTCTATACCCTCGGACAAACTTTTGTCCAATCTTGAATCTAAAATTGGCGCGGATGACCAATTTTAGATTTTTGAAAGTGTTCTTCTGTCACAGCCAGTCGAAATTGACGGAAAAGGTGCAAGAAGTCAAACAAGAAATCAAGTCATATCTCAGCCAATCTTTTATCAACTGACATGAAACCTGCTGTGAGTGCTTACAATCATACCCTTGACATAATAACATAATGTTTCCAAGGCAACTCTGGCCTGCTGGGCTGCTTGGCCCCCACATCGCTGCTTGTATATTGTATTTTAGTATTTTTTAAGGGCTGGGAAGTGTACTCTGTTATTTTCACAATACGGGAGCTTTGTGTAGTCTATATTAAAGCAATGTCTTGATTCAAATATTAGTGAGTACACTTTCAGTCAGGACGTTAAAATGCCTGGTGACCTGAGCTACAGTACGTTTTACAAATTAATAATATAGATAAAGAAAAACCAGTTTAATTATACTATAAAATTCATGGCAATATTGTTCATGTGTTCATTTTGTCTGCTGAACACAGTGAATTACCTCCACACTCTGACATGTTTCGAGCTCCAACCACCTTGGAGACTTCTCTTCCTTCAGGTCCAGGACAGACCTCACAAGACATCTGTCCCTCCTCGTCCTGATACGTCCCAGCTGGACACAACACACACCTTCCCTGATCCCCGTTGTAGTAAGTCCCAACACTGCAGCTCACTAACACACAACAGGGGAATGACAACAAGATAGAATAAAGATTATTACTTCAGTTATTTATTTTTAGTAGGACTCTTACACACACACACACACACACACACACACACACACACACACAGGTGCATTCCTGAGCTTACACAGAGCAAATTTTAAATTCAGCTTGCAATGCTTCTCTCGGTAATTGTCAAGATTGTGGTAGTTTGTCATATCTGAGTGTTGATATATTTGTCTTAGTGCTGTGGTGTGTCACGTTTCTAAATACTTATATTATTCTCTCAAAAAGAAAACTGTGATATGGAATCAAGCTGAAACAAATTCAATTCTTCAAGGACGGTGAAATCAAAGATTTTCTTCAGAAACTAAACGCAAATACTTAAGACCCTCAAAACAGACTGATGTGTCTGAACATGTAATTTACATCAATTTAGCAGAAAGATCAGTGTCACGTAGCGCTCGACTACAAAAACCATAAGCGCGGAGATAGACAGTGTAAAATGCAGACATGAATCAACAAATATAGCAGCACGCCCTGTGGCTACACATAATCAAACAGTTGTAACCACACTGTAGGTTTACACTATAAATACAGCAGCTCAATTGCATGACAAGACCATTAAAGGAACCCAGACTTCATCAGCTGCCTCTTAAGTGTAATCAAATGGGACCATGTACATACTTGAAATGGATAAACACACTGAAGAGCAGCCAGTTAACTACTCACCACCTTTAGCACATCAAAGAAATGAACTGATTCTGATCAAATTATCTACCAGCTGACAGTTTTGAGAGCTTTAATGAACATTACGAGCATCATTGGCCATGATGTACTAGGTCACATCGATTGTTGTGTTCCTAGTGTGTTTGGTGAAGCTGTATATTAATATAAGCATATATCAAAATTGAGAAATATCAATTGTGTGAGGCAGGGGGCAAATTTATGTAGATCTTCCATACTGGCTTAAAGTTATGACTGAACTGAATTAATGTAGCTATTGAACTTAATAGAAACAGGTCACTTATCCAATTTCCATAAAATACTGTAATGTTCATATCCCTTATTCACTTTATAGGGTCCTTAAAGACACATAGAACTTATAAGAGTATGTTTATTAGTTACCTCTGTCAATGCCTTTGTCATTTTGTGCAAGTCAAGTCTGATTCTTGACACAAAACAGTGTAAGGCTTGATACTATAATAAAGAGTTTTGCTCATTACTCCTAACTCCTAATTTCTTAGTTTGCACATTCAAAACAAACTAGACTCTAGAGGGACACACATGTACACAAAGCCCCACCATTAACCTGTTCAAATGCTTACAGCCATACAAACTCAATGAGAGAAAAGAGCAACAGCCCTCTCCACAGCTGCCTTTGTGCCCTGCTTCTGACACATCCTAATACTTTATACAACATGGCTGTGCATCAGGGAGGAACTTTTAATACCACCATAAGCACCCTCACCTCTTTTAAAAGCAAACATAGAAGCAAATCAAAGAGATAATTACCCTTTTATCTCACCAAAGTGCAAAGGCTTGATTAAAGGGACTAAAGCAGTGTTTTGCTTTGGTTCCTCCCATTCAGAGTGATGCCTGTAATTAATTTGGGAATTACTGCGTCTGTGTGATGGTCTTCAGAACTTGACTTGAAAACTGAAGCTGATCTCACACAAGAATAAATCAATTAAATCATGGGCCTTTAGCACAAAATGTGCCTGAGTTGTTGCCTTTAAGCTGTCTGTAAGCAGAGAAACCACTATCTCCAAAAGCTCAACACACAAAAGCGTTAACGTAGATCCATTATATGTGGTTCCGCAAATTGTTAGATTTTCCTCTAAAGAAAGAAAATGTAATTCTCTCAAGAGCAGTTCATTTTTTGAAGCCTATTGTTTATTCTGAAAGACCACGAGGAGCCATCTTTGCATTGTCCTCTAACAGCTTTTATTTGACAGAGGGAAGCAGTGAGAGAGGAGAGAGAGTGAGAGTGAAAGAGAAAAAAACCTTGAAGCCTTTCAAATGCAAAGAACGGTTCTATAGAGTCCTCGAATTGATGGCCCCAAAGAGGTTTAAAAGACCTTTCACCTCTATTCAAGTCCTCAGTCTTTGCCTACTTGATGACATAGGAAAACACTACGGTATCACAGTGGTTAGAAGCTGAACCCAATAAAAGGGGTCAGGTTTCTGAATCCCCCCATTCTGCTTGGCCCAATCGCTGCTCGCGCCCATCAAGCGGAGGCCCAAACAGCTGATGCTAATTGATTCCCATGGTGTGGCTGAAGTCAATTCTCTTTAGCAGTTTAGTGGCTGGGGGTCATGCAAAGTGGCCCCAGCTGGGGGGCAGGGGGGGACACAGCACTCAAACTGCCAGCTTGAATCAACAGCACTTCCTAAACATCTTCAATGTTAAAACAAACATGCAAACAAGTTGACTACAACGGTCAAACAGACATGAACGCGTGGACGTGCACCGTACATAGCATCTCAGCATCTGGTTCTTTACTGATGCTGTGCGCTCTTTTTTTTTTTATGTTTTATATAAATGTGTATCCTGATGCAGTCACTTGCTGACTATGTTGAGTAAGAAGATTAACAACAGCACAAATAAACAAATGAAGAACAAAATATGTATATAATGAATGAACTATATCAATAATATAATCATATATATACAATTTATTCAAACAGAGATGTCCTGGAATAAAAACTCATGCAACCATCAACTCAAACACATCACAGAATCAATGGAGAAAAGTGCACAAAGGTGAAAGTATATTTTCTCCAAATGCGCAGGAGGCGGTGTTGTTGTCCCTCTGAGGCAGTGAGAACAAGCCCCAAATGGGGTTTTCAATGGAGTGGGCAAACTGAAAAGGACTAAACTGTGCTCCGAACTAAGCCAGAGCGGGAGTTGGGGGAGGAGGGGAAAATATAGCCTCCTTTTAAGAGCTTGGAGTTAGGAAGAATGCCTTTTCAGGCCCCCCCCACCCACCCACCCACCCACCCCACCCCACCCCTCCTCTCCTCTCCCAAATTACATGTCTACACCCCTGCCATGGCCAATAGACTGCTTAATGTTGACCAGAAACCGTAGCGGGGGAGTTAAGGAATCAAGACACTTAAGACCTGTGTTACTGAAAGATAGAAATAATGCACAGGCGCAGATTAGGTTAAAATCCTGTCAGCGCGGCTCAACATCAGCAACAACTCTGATGTTAATGTGGAGGCCACAAAATATGGTGTTACAGGGAGATATACACAATGTAAAGCTGATGATTTTCTCTCTACAAATGTTATCTCGAGAAACTACAGGACAGCAAGTTTTCGTTTCTAGTTAGAGTACAAAAAACAAAAACACTTGGATTGGTTATCATATTCCTCAGTGGTTCAAAAGGGGAAAATTGAAATCTTAAACATACTTGAAGAGTTGTGTGAAGTTTAGATCTGGGTCCAAACGTCTCGACCGTTGGTGGTAGACGTGCACATACCGAACAAAGCGCACACCGTTTGTACAAATATTTAGACATCTCAACAGAAGAAAGGCACCAGTTTCCTCTCACTGATATCAAGAGGGCGTGCGGCAGGCAGCAAACTTACTGTGAGGCCCGAAATTAGGGGCGCACGGACCAGAGAAAACACATGCCAGCCTTCAGCCCGCTAACACTGACAGCGTGCGGTCGAATGCAGTGAACATTTTCTCCATCACAAGTTGTACATAAAACCCAACCGAGAGGTGACGGCTACCAGGAGACCTGCCTTCGGCCCTCATGTTACACTCTTATCCCGAGGAGATGCTGGAAGATCTCACAGCTCGGAGGAACCAACAACAGTCTCTCTGTTCTCCCATTCGAGCTCGCTCTCCCTTCCAACTAGCTCATTACAGAATGTCTGCAAACCAAATATGGCGCTCATCTGGCCAACACCTGCTCCAAATCCAATCATTAAACCAGCTTGTCTAAATATATCTCACTGGCATGAACCATTTCAATTACTTAAAGTCAGGACTATGAGTCTGCTGTGTGCACAGGGCGCACTCACAGCCATGGCTGCCTTGTTAGGTGTAACACAAGTGGTTGGATCTGCACTCTCTAGAGATGAAAACCATCAGTATCTAAAGAAGAAGTGATGTCTGGCTGAATGATGACTGTCCCAAACTTTGTCTTGGTTTCTGTGAGCTGAATGGTGAAGTAAACAGAAAAACCAAACTCACCACATTTCCTGCCCACCAGCACCTGTCCTCCCACGCAGTGTCCTGCCAGCTCTGCCGGCTGGTCCGGATTCTTGGATAGCTCGTAGTCAGACCCGGCAAAGTGGAGGTGGAACTGTTCCCGGTTGATGGACTTCCTCAGGGTCCTGATGGTCTTCCTCAGCCTCTTTTCTGAGCGTCGGCGCACACAGTTCAGGTCGCAGCTCTCTGCTGAGAGAAGCACTTGATACCACAACTGTTTCCAGTGCAAAGTTTCATCCCACACACCACTAAGTAAACTGTGAATTCATGCCTGGATGCCCACATGCTTACCAAGGCATTCACAAAAAAAAAACACGTCAAACAAGTCAGAGGGGGAACACTTCTTGGCCAACATTCATAAAGAAACCACGAAAATAAAACAAAAATAGCCTTGTGCCATAAACCTAGAGCCCACCACCACCACCACCACCACCAGAGCCACGTCAAAACAGGAGATACTTTAACAGTTTGGTTTGTTTAGTGACGAACAGACAGCGGCGAAAGAAAGAGGTCAAGAACAGGAAGCAAAGGTCACAGGCAGCGAGGCAGGAAGCGCCGGGAGACCAACCAACCTGTTACCTCCTCTAGGTTCACATCCAGCTCAAACTCAGCTGTAATCGAGGAGCCATCCTCCTCGCCAGCTTTCCTGCCGTGGCGGCTGCGCGTTCGCTGTCCGGACGAGGTGCAGCGCAGGCTCACATAGCTGAACTGGACATTTTCAGTGAAGAGGAACCTGCTATCTGTGGACATGGGAGACAAACATTCCCCCCAGAACCACGCCACAGCCAGCAGACACACACATACAACACACACAAATGCACAATTGTTAAAGAAATTCACAGAGCACATTTTGCTGTGTATGTAGACTGAGAAGCTGAAAAAAAGGGATGGGATGTCACTGTGATAAGTCCCTTTATTTGAAACAATTGTGTGCTCTTTCAGTGGCTGTGAGGGATGTAAAACACCAGGCCAAAACCCTCTGGAGAAGCAAAATAATCTTACAATCGGAACCCCGTTTGATTGATGGCTAGGTCAGACCTAACTGAAAGGCATGCTATGGCTAATTACATCCTCCCCTGTCACTGCCAGTCAAAGTGCTGTGCTGAGAAATTCAAGACACTCAAAACCACATCATGTTCCCCACAAATTTCTTTCACATTTGCCTTTGGTTTTTGCTTTACTTTGAAGCAGCCATCAGGTCTGCTTTATCCTCTAAAGATTGTGGCTTTAGATGCTGGCAGTTCTTGGTAAACCCTAAATGTTTTGTAACCAGTAACATGAAGAAGCTGTAATTTTAATCCTTGTCTATCTGTAATCTGTCTTGTGTTTGGAGGCATTGTTAGGCTTGTTGTGTGGCAACCTCTGTACCTGAGCGTGCTGAGTTTAAGCTCTCCTTGAGTTTCTCCTGACTTCGTTTTAAGTTGCACTTCGCAGTGCCAGACTTAAAAGTGGCTGTGGTCTTAATACGTGGAACACTGGCCATTTCTGGACCTGCAGGACAGAGGGACAGAAAACCTTGTCATTTTGATCTACTGATATATCAAGTGAAAACAAGGAAACAAGTTGTTCCTGAGTTACAGTTTTGTGTGGCAGAGCGGAAAAATAGATGTAAATCTGTGATGTTTTGTACTTGCCTAAGCAATACAAGCCACTGTTGTTCTTTTGTGCGTCAGCCAAGCAGGGCAGAGGCATTCCACAGGTCACCGTGTAGGAATCCTCCGTCCCTGAAAACACACAAGAGGCCGTGACACACAGACCAACACAGACAAAAGTTAGCGCCACAAAAGCCAAATAAGAGAGCAAACAGGAAGCATGTAGGAACACGAAAAGTCGCTCTATGGACTGATGCTGACGACTGTTCACACAACTAGATCTAGAACAGCTTAATTTACTGGCTGATTACGTTTCCATTAGCATGCTTTAGCTGTGCTGCATCAGGAGCTACCTGAGCTCTTCTGTACCATGCTGTTTGTATCTTATGATGCTAGAAACGTACGAGTGCACTTGACTGAGGCGTTTCATATCATATCAACTGATTGATTCAAACGTGTCATAGAGGTCACTGATCTGATTATTCACCGTATACACTGTATAGGAGCCTCATTGTTTGACATGCTTTGTCGGAGCTCTTTTGACGTCCATTCATCCCTTTCCATGTTTCAAACTGACATGACGATCACAAAAAATAATTTATAAAAATAATAATAATAAAATTTTATTTAAATTTAGACCAACTTTTATCAAGCTGGATATTAGTTACTAGTGGTTTGGTGGAATAGTCAACACTTTCTGCAGCTGCTCCACAGTGACAGCCTTCCAGCAGCCAGCTTTTGCTAAATGTTTTTGAATCAGTATTGTGAACTTGAGGTTACATTTTAGGTTGCCACAGCACAGCAGCAACTTTGGAGGACTGATTACGACTGTTTAACCCCTGGAAGGCCTTAGATCTAGAATAGCTGTATGAAGTGAGGTTAGAGTTGTTGCTCAATTAAAGGGAGTTTCAATCTTTAAATTTGCAAAGACTTCAAGTTACTGTTTGAAACATTGTAAGAGTGAAACTGACTTCATTACAGCTCTGACAAATTGCAGAAAAGTGGGAGCACAGCAGTGATGGTTTTTTTTTTTTATCTGTTTGATGAATAATAAGAGCAGGAAAATATGCAGGTGTGTAACAGAACTGACAGTGACTCCAGTACTATGTAGTTCTGCAGGTCAGCTTTGGTTCATTAGAAGAAAACACTTGAAAAGAAGATGGATCAGCAGGTGAAGTGATCAATATGCCATTATGATAAGAATAACTATTTCCTCTGCAGTACTCATCTTCTGGTAATTCAGTAAGAACAAGTTGTGATCGCACGAGCTCATCATGGCACAGGTATTTTACACTACATGGAGATCTGGCTCAGCCAACTCACCACTGCTGATATGAACTTGGGACTGGCATGTCAGGAAGCAGCGGTCCCCTCCCTCCTGCTTACTACAGTTCAAGGTGGGCTTAGAGGGGGGTTTTGCAGGTGGTAAACCCTCAGCCTCTAGATAGAAACCACAACAAAACTCCAAGGTAAAAAAGAACAGTTTTGACTGTAACAATGAGGAAGAGGCACATGAAGATGAGGCACAAAACATCCTGACAGCACCAACAGCATCGTAGCATTTTGGATGTTTTACTCAAGCACGAGAAAAACCAGGTGACAGAGAATTAAAGAGAAAAAAGAAAACAGAATTCAAAGTATCTCCTGTTTTTGTCCCTCAAGTTTGAGTCCAAGACGTAGGATGTCGTACGCTCTTTCATTATACAATTTCCAAAGAGACAGAACAACAGCACTCAACAGATGTGCCTATAATATAGGAAGAGGCACCAGCTTACCAATGCAGTCCTTTTTGTTCCAGTGTAGTTTATAGCCAGAATGGCAAAAGCATTCAAATCCACCCATGGTGTTCTCACACCCCTGTTCACAACCGCCATTGTTCACACTGCATTCATTTATATCTGAGAGGAAAAAGGAAAACCATTATTATAATTACAGGGTCCATTTTTGCAACACATCAATGAGCAAGCGCTCACATTTGTTTGCTTTTTAGCCTGACGCATCTCTAAACTGAGCACTTGTGTGTTACGCTCAAGTTGTTATGTGTAGCTCTCTCCACCTAACTTGGTCTCACCTCCGCAGTGGGCCAGTCCATACATGGTGTAGCCTTTGTTGCACAGACACTGAAAACCACCGGGGGAGTTCACACACGTGTGATCACATGTCCGCTCAAAAAAACACTCATCTATATCTGTAATCAGAATAAGACAGATGACATAATAGCAGGGCAGTCAGTTGCAATCTTCATCAGGAGGGATTTCCCACTCAGAGACACACATTGGCATTTGATCCTGAACTCAGTAAAATGTGACGTGTGCAGGGTGCTACGTCTTGTAAAAGTCCAATGGCTTTTGATAGTAATTACAGGTAGAAAGACGGTAGTGGTTCATTGAGAGGTCTTAAATGTAACTGCATCAGGTCTATTTCTATTTGGTCAAAAAATATGAATATGAGACTAGGCATTTAAAAAAATAATGGAATCAAAGAGCGGATGAACATAGAGGCAGCGGATGTCAGAAACATCTCCTTATGTCATGATGTAGCACTCTGTGTTTGAGGAGAACAGACAGGAGGAGACAGGGGTCATTTCTACCTTGACAAGAACGTTCATCCGTCAGCAGCTTGAAGCCTTTTCTGCAGTTGCACTCGAAGCTGCCGATGGTGTTCCTGCAGAAGTGATCGCAACCGCCGTTGTGAAGCTCACACTCATCAATATCTGTGGGAAACAGGCGATATCCTGACAACACTTTAGCAAGACTTCCCATACAAATGCATTGAGCTGAATGGCAGTACCATGAGTCTCATGCTTCTCTCTGTGGAGGACTTTTTTTGTGGACAGGCAATCTGACCTTTGCATGTTTTTCCATCCGGCTGCAGTGTGAAGCCGATGGGGCAGCTGCAGCGCACGCCTGTGGATGTGTCTTTACAGGTGCAGTCACACCCCCCATTGTTCACCGCGCAGGTCTCTGAAATGACAACACGCAGCATGAATGTATGTGAATGACCTTCTTCCTTGTGAAAAACGTTGCGTTATTCCTCAATGTCAGAACTTTGATCGACTGAACATTGTACTCTAAAAAACACCAGGACGGCAGAGTTGATGTAATACTGAAGATATACTGTTTCTTCTTACAGATTTTGAATTATTGACTGAACTTCTTTGAAATGAAGTGAACAGTACAAACACACAGATTAGGTACATGTTGACATATAGGCTCAACCTAATAATGTGTATTAATTATAACACAGGACACGACTGCCAGAGCTGGCCTGCTAGCCGTGTAATTAGTAAAATGCCAAAGATTCAATGTTTTACATGTATGGAGTGACCCAGAATCACACAGCTGATAAATACTAACTATACAAGAAAAGATTCACACTCTGCCCTTCCCAAATGGAAGGAAAACGTGAAATGTACCACACTGTCACAAATGCATATTTTTCAGGGTGGAAACTGAGGGTGAGAAACCGAGTGCGTAGTCATTTCACAGTTTGCTCAAAAGACTGAGGAATGCATCGGTTTACTAGACATTACTCCTCTCTCCTGTTTAGCACCCCTGAGTGGTTCCTGGCAGCTCAACACGCCGTCAGGTAAAACACAGACTCGAGCTGTTGGCCTCTCAATGCAGACGGTGTGATCTTTACCCATAAGCAGTCTTCGTTTGACCCGTTTGTCCACCTCAGTGAAGGATGTGGCGTTGTGGTCGGAAGACTCGGTGGTGGCTTCATCTCGTTCTGTGACACACACACACACACACACACACACACACACACACACACACACACACACACACACACACACACACACACACACACACACAAAACGGGTCTTAAATGGAGAATGCATTGGTTCACAAAATCATTGCATTTACCAAATAACACTAGCACCGTGACTTTCCTATTGACTTCAGCTCTGGGTGTTTGTGTTGGCCACCTTTTAGTAACCAGATGCATGTTTACACTTGAGATATTCAGCTTGTAGTGGCTTGGCGTGCGTCAGATAACACGGCAGATCACTAAAGTGAATCTGGAGACAACGTCGCACTGATATGGCTGGACCTCACACACACTGCTGCTGGGAGGGAGGGAGAGATATTACCCAATATCTGACGGCTGATCCTTATCCTTCATAACCATTGTGTGGAAAAATGCACACTGCCTAACAAGGAGAACTGACAGAGAGATATGTTTCCAGTTACTGTGTTTTCATTCATTCATCTAGATAGCCTCTACATTACTTAAGAACCAAAGTCCAGTCCGTAGTGTAAGCTGCTCCTGGAATGTGCACTCCTTGTTTTGTTATATTCTGTACAGAAATTACACTCAAAGACATTTAATAAACATTTGTTATAAAAAAAAAAACAAGAATCCAAAACATGAATCACACCTTGGTCATCCCCATTCTGTTTATATTTATGTAAAAACAACCAGCTAACACCGATGTATGGTCCACTCACCAACTTTCTCCACAGCTTTCAACCACATCTCGTCTTGCTCACAACCCCATTCAGCGAGGAAGACCGTGAGATGTGGTGAGATGTTGAAAGAGCTGTTAAGTGGAACCCTAAGTTGAGAAACTACTATTTTCACGTTCTCCTGAGACGCCATGTTTTTTGTTTTTTTTTGTGGTTGCATCATTACATCGAACTGAAATGTTCCAGATGTTTTGTGCATCATTTGAAAAAATTCAATCTGACATTTTTGCTACCTCCTTAAAATTTGCGATAATGTTGTGTCAGTTTGAACAATGAATGGCTGCACAGGATGCTCAGTGAGATGTCTGACACGCTTTAACGTCACGTGTGTTAAGCAGCAACTGATTCTGCAGACAGTGTGCTTACCTACACACGACCTCTTGTCAGGTTGCAGGGTGTACCTGACGTGACACCTGCATATGGGGCCGTTCTCCGTGTCCTCGCAGGTGTGCTGGCAGCCTCCGTTGCCATGGTTACAAGTCACTGCAGGGTCAACAACACGCGAGCATGAGCCAGATTATCAGTGCAACATTTGAAGCCAACTGAATGCCTGTATATAGGTGTGTAGTGTGAAGGCAGCTTCGTGCCGTCGAGCACGTACAGATGCAGCCTCTCTGGTTCCTGGCTAGCTCGAACCCTGGACGACACTCGCAGGCCACACCTCCTTTGGGTGTCTCTTTGCAGATGTGGGCGCAGCCGTGCTCCTTATTCATACAGTTGAGGCCCTCTGGGACAGAATGAGGGAGAGAGGTACACAATGAAACTCTCCTACAGTGACTGACCGGCTACACACAAAGGCACACATAGTGAGAGATTAGTCTGGCATCCTCAAAGACACTGATTGTTCTCACGCCTCACACAATTCAAAAACATCGACCACTGCGTTATTTTTAGCACTTCTAGGGAGGAAAAGAAAGTTCTCTGAGCAGAGCTAAAGTTGTTCAAAAGTTTATTCTCTGAAAACAAAGCTCTGCAAACTCCTCTAGTGTCTACTACATACTCACTAATGCTTCCAGCTGAAAAATGAGATTATGAAGAGCCATTTATATAGATAGGTCACAGCTGAGTGGATAGGTCCACAGGATTTAAAAGGGTTGTCAAGACCCGATGGAGTGGAAAGTGCTTGCATTTAAGTTGACTTCAATCAAGAAGACAAAACAAAGGCACTTCAGACAAATCTGTGACACGGACCACATAGACCCGAGTGTTGCAGTTATTAACTTATTTTGTTCTCTGGGACTCAGAGATCCTTTTCCCACAGCATGTTGCTGCTGCGGATAAAAGCTCAGTGACGGGATCCAGCTTGAACCTGTCACCCCTCATTGTGCTGTCAGTCTTAGATTTGTATGTGAATATTGGAGAATTTGCTAGATAATTCTCTGTCTTTTTTCACAGCTTAATACAATTAGCACATACAAACATCCGCAAACACAAATAATACAAACTCAAAACCCTTTTCTATAAATGAATTAGACACTGTTAGAATTTTCTCTTCCTCCAGAAATTTTAAGCCGTGTTAAAATTTGTTGAGAGCGCCACAGAATATCTTCAGTAACTGTGAATTGTCCTTCAGGTGCTGCACATCTGCATTGTCAAGTTCACGGATGCAGATGTGGCTCCTGTTTACAGAATAAGTGTGCATGTTGTACACTCACCCACAGAGCGGTGGATGCATGTGTGCTGGTTGTCGCTGAGGAAGAAGCCCTCTTTGCAGCGGCACTCATAGCTGCCCATGGTGTTGACACAAGTGTGTTGGCACCCACCATTGTTGAACTTGCATTCATCCACATCTACGGGACAGTGGAGTGATCGCATTAGTTAACAGCGTTAACTGGAAAAGTATTTGTTATGTCCACTAGAATTTTCAGAAATTATCTTTTAATTCGTCTGTTTTGTCCAGTGTTTACAAACATTGCAAATGTAATTAAGGCTTTTTCAAATCAACTCTTAGTCATAAATATTGATCAAATATGAACAAAACCAAAACTGTTTGTATTAAGCTACATCTTTAAAAGTTTAACAGAGAGGGCTCAAGAAAAGTGAGTCTGAGCGAGTGTGAGAAACTTCACATCCAGCCCGCACAAACATGAACTCCTCACCATCAGAGCTGATGAGTCCAGCTCTCTGTCTATCACAAAAGATTATTGACTTGGTGGTCTTTAGCTGACCTTACCTAGGCAGTTATGTCCGTCATGCGCCAAATTGAATCCGTCATAACAAGTGCAGCGATAATTGCCTGGTATATTGTTGCACTCATGTACACAGCCACCATTGTACTCCAAGTCGCATTCATCAGTGTCTGAGAAGTAAACACCACACAAATAAATGTTCACCTACTGATCAAAAGTTAAAATGCAAGATGCTTGTTGACAACAAAGATTTGAGTGCAATCAGAAGATGTGTGGAGTATATTCGAAAGACCTATGGGAAGAATAAATGGGTACAGATATCACAATGAATGCTCCTGTAGTAACTCACAAGTGATGCCACAGCAGATTAAATAGTGTTGTGATGTTGTAATCACAAACATGTTGTTAATATTACAAACATATAACCTATACAAATTCCACCCTGCATTAAAATATGTGCCTAAACATCCAAACTCTGTGATCCCACTCAGATGTAATTGGTTAGCAAATATGAAAGTGAATCAAACAACTCAACAAAGAGGAAACACATTACCTTCGCAGTGTTTTCCATCTCCTTTAAAGCCTGCTTTACACGTGCACTTGTATGAGCCTTGGGTAGTCTGACAAATAGCATCAATGTGACAGCCATCACTTCCCTCTGCACATGGATCTGCAGAAAGCCATACAGGTCTTAAAGATCATGATTACAATTCAAATACGCTATTAAATCAGATAGCATGACATTTACCAAACAGGCACTTAAGTTTGTTATGATTTGTGAGAATATACAAAAAAGAGACAAGCGAGAAAACTCATATATAACTAATAAACACTAAAACATTTACCTCCCTATAATAATAATAGTAGCCTACGGGAGGCAAATTGAAAAATTAACTGAAAAACTAACCTGAAAGTTAATAAGTTACATATAAAATAAAACGTGTGTGCCAAAAACTCATGTGTTTAGGGAGCACATAAATTCCCAGAGCAACAGTCATTTTCCACAGCTACATGCTATGAAACTTAAGGAAAATTTAAAAGTCACCATTGGGGACACAACAAGAGCGCACTCCTCAAAGCGTGCGTAAAGTAGCACTCTCCGCGACAGGAAAACACAACACAGACACACACATCATGCACACACACTCACTACAGTCCCACCTCGAATCTCTGGAAGCGCTGTGCTTTGGCGACTATTTAACAAGAGCAAAAACAAACAAAAGTCCCTTGCGGCCCAAATAGCTCCCATGGTGATATGATCCAAGTTTAGAGGTCTTCTCAAAAGGACGCGTACGCACTGAAGTCGTGACCGAGCGTCCGCCTCATTTTCATTCTAGCCTGTCAATCTGCCTCACAAGGGGCTTTTGAAAAGAGAAAGGAGTGAGTAAGTGTGTGTGTGTGTGTGTGTGTGTGTGTGTGTGTGTGTGTGTGTGTGTGTGTGTGTGTGTGTGTGTGTGTGTGTGAGTGCGCGCGCATGCGTGTGTGTGTGTGTGTGTGTGTGTTTGAAGGAGAGTGTGCGTGCGCGTACAAGTGAGAGTGAAAAAAAGAAAACCGAGCTGCGTCAAGTCAGTCGTATAGCCGGTGCAAAACCGGAAAGGTCGTGAATTTACGTAAAACGATACACCATCAGTGCGTTTGAAGACGTTTTTATTTTGAAAGCTATGACCGGAAATCCTTTGGTAAACCTAACGTAATTGAGCCCCTATAGTCTCAGACAAGTCTTTAACAGGGGTCAATACTATTCTGCGTTAATATTTCAGTTTTCATGCATTTCAATATCTTAAATCAGTAACCAGGTTTTACACCTACGCTCTCTGATTCATCAGATTCTGTGACTTTATTTTATATCGGACACTAAAGAACAACGGTGACCCTGTAGATACAGAGACGGTCACATCAATTTTTGATTAATTTGATTTAAGTTTCGACTGTCGAAATGTGTAACCCTATCTAAATACCGTGGAGCTTCTGGGGGGAATCTTAGCTGACAAGCTATATCAATATAATGTATGAAAAAGTATATTACAGACGTGTGCACTAGCAATATAGGAGTTTCTAAAACGGTCACAAATATTGTTCAAAATCAATTAAACAGTGACACGCAGACAAAGAAAACAACCACAGCAAATTCTAACGCTCCAAGGTGTTCCAGTGTGCAAAGCCCCCTTGATTAAAGGCTTCTATGTAGCTCTTGCCCACCACCTGTCGGCGCAGATAAATATTGCAAGCATATTTTTTTCCCCTTTTTTTAATTTTATTTTTATTACAATACACTTCTACTTTGTGGTACAGTATACAAAAAAAGCATTGAAAAACATCTACATTGCATGTTCAAAGGAAGTGCACAAAATTAAGAACAGATTTTCTGAAAGGCTCTACACCAAGTTGTCTCAAAATTTCAGTAAAAAAAAAAAAGCTTTGTAATAAATAAATATAAATTACATGAGAATCATAATGAAAAGGTCAGGTAATTCATTAAGGCACATCTCACATCCCAAAATGTACCTCGCAAAAAAAAAATATGGCAACTCCCTAAGGACAAAAACAAGCTTATTTTCCAGCTTAAAAGGAAGCAGCATTTCTCCTTTTAGTAAGAATAATAGAACATGTTCAGCATTTAACTACCCTGCCGCAGAAAAGTTTATATATTAAGCAACTTTACAGAGCATTGTCTGTCAATTCATGTTTGATATTGATAACAATATTGTAAAAAATGTAACCGTTGTCACTGCGGTATTGATTTGAGAGACAGTAAGCACACCATGACTAAAACTGTGCAATCTGAGCATTATTATAACAAGATATATCTTGAGACAATTATGAATTGTGATTAGGAAAACGTAAAGTTATTGCTGAAATAATTGATGCTTTTTACAAGCCAATTTGGTTGAATAAAGATCCACCACTTTACACTAAAATAGTAAAAGTGACAGACAGCCCCAGAGCACTTCTCACATTCATAATGTCTGCATAGTTTGAACTTGGACAATTGCATCTGAATAAATCACAGCAATGACAATCACAAACACATTTTCTCTGACAGCATTTTCTGTCAAAAATGTAGAGTAGCCATAAAACATAGATTGCGTTTCCAGAATGTTCAATTTCTTACCATTGCGTGCCATTAGCGAATGAAAAAGGAATATTGCAGCTCAATGATGCTGCATATAAGCGTTTAACTTTCCCTGCAGTTTACACATATTTCTGTACATAGCATAGGCTACAGCTTTGCACATCTTTTAGAGAAATGTGTCTGAGAAAATGAGATGTGAATATTCTCTAAAAACTTGAATTAGCGTAAAAGTACATGTTTTCAGCACCTTTCAGACACACAAAAACAGTTTTTTACATTAGTAGTGGTTTGCCATTCCTGTCATTTAAAAAAGTTTGAATGGACCAAGAGCCAAAACACTGTATTTACAAAATCCATTTTAAAAACATTTGCTTTACAACATGCATTGTCATTTCATTGGAGGCTGTACAAAAGAAATAAATACATCGCTTTTGTCATTCCAGAAAGGCAGAGGAATGTACTGCATGCATGGTCTAACCACATCTATCTGAGTCAATGTGCACAAACTGCTGAACAAATTACAATGGAGTGTTTCAAACGCATGGCATGCTTAGGCTGTGAAAAATGTCAGAGAGATTATTCGTTCATTTCTATACACACATTAAAAGCTTAATTCATGGAGGACAGTGTACTAATGATCCCTGGTGTCACCGATAGCCCTCTTTGTACTAGAAATCCTACAGACTCACGCATTTGCACATACGGAGCAAACAGAAAGGACAAAAAACATTGCAAGAGCCACTCCTACACACACACACACACAAAAAAGCTGGTATTAGGTATAGCTGGTGTCTTTCATATGCACACTTACAATTTGACAAATTATGAAAAAAAAAAGAACAGTCTTGATATGTATGAAAAAGTGACAAAACATTTATGATCACGTAATACAAAATAATCAAAAACAGTATAGAATCAGAAACGGAGCCTCATCAAAATTTGTCTCCTCATCCTATAAATAACGCTAATGCCCGTAAGTTTTTTTTTTTCCTTTAAGCTTTTCATAAAAAAAGAAAATTAACTCTATACAAAAGTTTAAAAAAATACCCATATAAAAAAGGAATGAAATATCTAACTAAGTGATCTAACAGGGGGAGTGGGATTAGGAGGTCTGCCACTGGAGACAAATCCAGGTGGATGCCATGGATAACCCTACAGGGGGATTCAACAAAAGCAATCACCAGGTTTCTTGGGCGTCTTCCGGGAGCTGTGGAGGAAGTGTGTCTGGAAGGTGTGCGGCCACTTGTGTGGACGCCAGTGTCTTCTGTTTTTTGGAACTGCAGCAGGGCTTGAAAAGACGAGGATCAATAATCACCTCTCCAAACCGCCCCTTGTAGACAATCCCACAGCACACCTTTTGTCTACAAAAGCAAAAGGAAAAAAAAAAAAGACAACCATTTGAATTATTAAATCATTTTTCAAAAGGAGACAAAACAGCATAGTAAATTTGTTGTTAAATGGGGCAGTAGCCTGCCTTTTCCAGTAGGAACGATCCAAGAAAGAGAAGATAGAGGGAGTCGAGCGTCTTTGTTTTGACTCGATGTCTGAGCCATCATCTGACTGGTTGCTGTAACTGGGAGACTGGGCAGGAGACACACTGGAGGTTGTGCTTTGGGCATCTGAGTCTGCTTGGAAACAAACAAAAACAAACAAAAAAAAAAACTTAAACACCATAATCAGATTGATTTGGAAAACTGCTGACTATTGTTCACTACATCCTTTACTTTTCAACTATGATTTATTAGAGAATTCACCTACACTGTTGACATTTTGGGAGAAGTTTAACTTTTAATGAGCAAAGTAGCAGAAAAGTAAATGTAACAAAAAAGTTAAAATGGCCATCACACAAGCCAAATATGACATATTCAAAATACAGCTGCAACATAGTACAACTATTTTAACAATTGGTTAATCATTTAAGTCATTTAAAAATGTGCCCTTTCCCCTCACCAAGTGCTAAAATGTTTTGATTTTTATTTCTCTACTGTTGGTCAGCACTGGCTCCAGGAAACTGATGGGCAGGGTCACCATTTTCGAGTGTTTCAATGACCCAACAATTATCAAGAAATTTGTCTAGTGATTTATCTAAAATTATCGAATTTTCGGAATCATTGGATTTTTTTCCTTTACATAATCTTTTTTTTAACAATTTGTCAATCATTATAATTGTTGGGAATTCATTTTCTGATTCTCTGTTTCAGCTCAAAAGCAAACTCCAATACACAACAGTTACACAGAGCCACTAGATGCTGCTAGACAGTCATTTTTAATCAGCTTTTCAGTTGAGGCTGGAAAGAAAACCACACCAAAACCAAAAACTGACACACCGTGAAATTGCATATACGTGGGACCGAGATACTTTAAGTCAACAACTGTTCCATGTCTGACTAGACATAATTCCTAACACATGCAGGTTACTATTTAATATTTCAAAACAACTTACTTTGTCTCTTTAACTTGTGAAGTTTCTTTAGCTTGCTTTTCTTCTTCCCATCGCTGTTCTTGATCTTCTTGGGTTTTGTCACCTTGAAGCCCGGCCCAGCTCTGGCATCCACCACCTGAGATAGGTCAGGCAAAATGACACGTCAATTGAAAGTCAACAGGACAATCAGACAAATATGATTCCCAATACAGTAAGCAGACATCACTTACATGGTTCCAGTTCTTCTTGGAGCCATGAGGCAGCTTCTTCCACCTCTTCACCAGTAACACACATGCATTGCAAATGTCTCCAACACGATCCTCTGACAGCCTGTTAAGTGAATAAACACACACACACACACGATTAAACCAAATGAACAGAGTAACGGCTAAAGTTTGACACCCCAACAAGCAAAACGCACCAACACCACACGAATGCACAATATAAATGAATGAAAGCTTTTACCCAAAACAGAGCCTGAACGTCTCTTCATATCGACTGCTGTCTGTGAAGCGTGAACTGGAGGACTTGGTCTTGCAGATGCAACAGCCGTCGTTACTCCGGTAGATCTTTGACTTGTGAAAGCCAAACATAGTCTGCTTGTTGGTCAGTGATATGGCAAAAACCTGAAAATGTAAAACAAAGGTCGGCAACCGTCCCAAACCCGTTATAAGCACTGTGGGTGTCTGCAGACAGTTGTGCGTTCTACTATTGAAAAGGGGGCGGTCCCTACACGCGCACACACACAGATATAAACGAGCAATTCTTAACCCATAATTTCAACACATCCTGTATGAAAAGCATATTTTAGTGCAATGTAATACATTTGCAGTGCCCAAACAACTGAAAAACCATAAGTAACTTGGGCTAAAGCAAAAACATCCAAGTATCTTAAGGAATTTTAAGCCAAAACGCGGGAACACCAAAGAAACAGATAACACTGACATTGCATTAATATTATAACCTGATGTTATTGCTTGTGTCGTTAAAGAAACAAAAAAAAGCAGACCAGCTAAGTTACATTTGATGTAGTCTCCCAAACTTTCAGACACTCCGTCCGGTTAACGTGAGGTGAATCACAGAAACGTTAACACCCACAACACAGCGTTTTACTATCGTTCACTATTGTTAATGTCACTTTTCTGAACATCGGGCAGTGCACTGGGAATCTGGTGAATTTGCGAGCACAAAGACAATAATAAATACTTGATGTTAGACATTGGTTAGCTGTGGATTTGTCTGCGGTGAAAAGTCGAAACAAAAAGCGGGCAGTAGCGCTTTCTGAAGTAAGAAACAAAAAGCTACCGGGCTACTCGTTGAAATATGTGTAACACGCGTGTCTAAACAGCACACGACTATCGACTTGGTACAATACATGTGTGTTGTCAGTATTTCAATAAAATATAAAAAGTTGCGATAAACCCATCCGCCTCTTTAAATTCAAACTTTTGCCCGCTAGAGCGCCAAATGCGGCTCATTGTTGTTAGCTGTTAGCATGCTAGCTAGCCGACTTTGCTACCTTCACCACGCCACGCTCTCGTTGACTTCCACGTTATCCCATTGTCGAGTCGGTTACTCTTTGTACATTTAGCTCGCTACAACTGGAAACACACACGTCAGGCTACGACTATAACGCATTATACTGAGTCTCTTCACACATAACAAATCAGCAGAATTTCGTAAATGTAATTTCTGTATAAGAGAAATAACAGCGCACTTACTGAACAAAAACTTTGAATCTTCGCCGTATTCTTTTCACGCACTGCGCATGCTCTTACTACTGCTGCATACAGCTGGCCATTAAAATGTCATTTGCATAAAAAGCCGTAATGAAAAGGCTGAGCGCACAATGACCAAATAAGGAGTGCAGCCGTTGAGTTTGAACCTGGATTCAACCAATCACTGCTATCTTCGCGTATTTTACAGAAGTAGTGAATCATGGGAAGTGTAGTGAACGAGCGGGAGAACTCTGTGTCGTCACATTTGTTAACGGCCTAGTGTTAAACTCAAAATCCCATAAACCACCTGGCCTGAGGCTTTAAAGAAAAACAGCCTTCTGACATGGCGCGAACAAGTTTGTTTACATTTTTTCAGCTGAGAAAGCACACTGAGCAGAGAATATACATCTATGTATGAACAGCTTGTTAACACAATTACATCAGTTACTATTTAATTGCTGCTGTATTACTTTATGTATAACTATGATTTTATTTGACACAGAAGTGACTATGCTTATTAGAAATGGGAATTCAGTTGCAGTTTTTAATTATTTTTCTTAAATGTTAATACATACAAAGTGGAGCAAAAGGTGGCCAACAGTCAGTTTAGATTAGACTGTCACTATTTAATTAATTGTAACAAAATATTAAGAAATCACAACCACAATTTCCTTAAGCCTTATTTACTTAAGTTTACTTATTCAAATAGCTTGTTTTGTCTGGCCAGGGGTCCAGAAGCCAAAGATACTCAGTTTACTATTATTACGACAATTAAGACAAATAAAACCAGTAAAATACTCATATCTAAGAAGCTGAGAACAATGAATTTTTGAGGTGAACTACATTTTTCAGCTGAGTAAGCACATTAAGCAGATAATATAAATCTGTTAATGAACAACTGGTTCACCCTAATACAATAAAAACCCCTTTATCGCATTACAGATGCTTTATTCTTAATATATTTTTACACTGTACACTGTTGCTCACTTAGTAAACACTACATTACACAGCTATGTCAATAAATGTACAACCGTATTGGAAAACAAAAATATATATCTCCCAAGATGCTCATGTGTGGGTCGTACATAGACAAGTACAACACAGTCATTCCAGACATTGTTGGCACAGAAAAGAAGTCCTTCACATATCAAATCTCTTATTCTGCACAGTAAAGTTTGATGTATGTAACGGAGGAGGGCCTGGTAATACCTCAAGACACCATGATATGGAGTTTGTAGGGGGCTGAATTTTCTCGTGGATATTGCATAGCAAGAAACCATGATGACAAAATCTGGAGGGGAAAAGAGCAGTCCTTTTTGCTCCTCACATGGGAAGCAGGAGATCACCCTTCATTACGAGCAATCTACGCAGATCATCACGCTGTCTTTGTTCAGAGAAGAGGGCAGATGTGTAAGGGCTGAGATGATGTTCGGGGAAACGGCTGGTTGGAGGTATTTACACGAAGGCTGTCATTGTGATCAACTTTGCACAGAAAGCTTGGTCAAGCATTACTTGGAGGACTTGTGTCTGGAACACAAACCAAAGACTTGGGGTATTTTCCTTTATCCAACAGAATATTACTGTCCATCACTGGGTACAGTCTTAAGCCACACAGTCTTATTATCATGCAAGAAGGATCATTTTCTCTGCTGAAGGTATTCCATGTAAAAGATTTGCATACTTGTACATTTCTCAGGGAAAGGCCCAAATGTGATGGCCTTTTGATTCTTATGTAGGTGAATCATCTTACACTCTACAAACCTCCCTGTCATACACATACTTATAAAGCATACTTCTACATCATTTGCTTTCAGCTCTGCGTTATGACATTGGAATCTGAGTTGACAACAGAGCAAGCAACTTGACTGATTTAACAAAATAATACTGTTTTTCTCTGAAAATATATTAACAGCTTTGATCCTCGCTTTCCCTTAAATATAACCATTGTCAGCAGTTCACGATAACAATGAAAATATTTAGCTTTCAATAAAACGTTATAGCACAAGTAGGTCATTGTCAGTAATGTGAAAATCATGGTTCATAATAGAAAACATATTTTTAACATCTAATGGCAACATCATTGAGGATAAAAATAACAACATATCTTGAAAGGCTCATTGCACTTAATATATGGCAAATGTAACAGTAGCTTTAATATAAGCCAGAAAATGTCCTTTGTTCAAGTCTGTTTCTGCATATAAAAGGTTCCGTTATTCTTTTTAGTGGTCCCCAGTGATCTTCTTGGTCAGGTGCAACTGGTGGGAAGTTGGTTGGTTTGGTTTAGATACCAACACCTTTGACAAGAGAAGCCTCCAGGGTGATGTTGAACTCCTGCAGAGTCTGTAGTACTCTGATCAGAGAGTTCACCAACGAGCGGTCCTTAATCAGTGCAGTGTCCTCGTACATCTGAGCAGTGATTGGACAGTCTGCGAGCAGAGCAATCCAGTGATGCAGCAAATGGTCCCTAAAAGCAGCAGAAAACAGACAGACATGGAGTCAATTTAGCAGCTTAAAAGTAAAAAATGCAACTGCTGGATTTTTACACACAACTTAATTAATTAATTAATTAACAATTAATTTTATGTTGATCAACTAATCGATAAATTGGCTAGTTATTTCAGCAATGTTATGGTGTATAGAGCTTTACACCAAGACACAAATGACTAGATCATTATGCACACAATACAAGGGCACATACACCCCTACAGAGCATAATCATTAGAATATCTGATACTTCAAGAATCCTCCTAGGAGATTGTTTTCACTTGACTCCTTGTGGGTCAGGACGAAGGGTCAGATAAAGCATTGCATCCACAGTTGCAGGGATTCAGTGTTTTATCGAAAGAAATTTCAGCAGGGAGGACTGATTTGTGTCACTACAAGATCACTGGACATTTCACTGCTTCCACACTGAATTTCCATGTCATCGTCAACAAATGTTAACAATGTTCACTACAACTAAATACGTCTCTTGATGTTAGTGAGTGCTGCCTGCCTACCTTGCACCCAGACAAACGAGCATCTGGAACTTTCCGTCCTTGCCGATGTTTCTGGATGTGTTGTTGATGGCGCGCATGAAGCGGCAGAAGTGGCGCACTCTGCTTTGCCAGTTTTCATCTGGGGTAACCTCCCGCTGCTCTGCACTTTCAAAGTACACTTGTGCCTTTTCTGTTAAAGCAGATTATAATTCAAATACAAATCAGTTAACAACTGATTGTACAGCAATATGAAGGTGTGTTTGCAGCAACACTTAATCCAAAATCTTTTCTGTGTCAAAGCTTGTGAACCAGGCTTGAAAGGCGTTTGCAAAACATTTGTATTGTTTGACGAAAAGTTCTCAACACAAGATCCAACTTATTTGTTGTTTTAACCTGATCTTGTGGCATTCCTCAGTTGATATTGCTCAGCTGATATAGATATGGTTTAGTTAAAACTAAATACTGTATTGTTGTGTCCTTCTTCGGAAAGAAAGACATTTTCAAGTAAATAAAAAAAAACTCTACCCCTGAACCAAAATATACTTCTCCACTGCCCGCCTGTATGGTCTAAATACTCATTCTTTTACAAAATAATGAGTGAATGAATGATGAATACACTGCTTCCGTGTCATTCCGTCACCCTCCTCAAAGCTACAAAGAATGCAGTGTATTTACAGTAGTCGTATTTTGGTAAAATGATGGTTGTTTGGAACATACTGATGTTTCGGACAGCAGAGAAGTGGATCTTGCTGCAGGTATTACTTTTTTCAACAATGAAAACATGTCAATATTAAGAGTCTGTAACTGGCTTTAATTTAAGCTGACCACAGCTGCTGTTCCTTATGAAGAAACAAACGTTTTACCTTTCAAGGATCTGAGTTTGATAATCAAAACATTTAGATTTTAGATAGAATATCACATTAAAGACTTAGGGAGTAATGTTAGTAAGTCTTTACCCAAGAAGTCCCAGATGAAGACATTCTTAAAGAGTCGGGGTGATTTGAAACCGTGCTGGAAAACTTGCTCCAGAGCCCAGACGAGGCCGTACTCCCCGCAGAGGAGAAGGGTCAGACTGCCTCTCTGTGGAGAGCAAAAACAACAAGAAAATGCATGTAGTTACAGAAACTAAAGGTTGTTGTTTCCTTACAAATTATAAATACAATGGAGCAATTTTAAAATAAAGTTCTTAACACCTTCTCAGGTCCAACCATCCCATTAAGATATCAACCCAACTGCCAAATATCTTGCAGGAAAAGAGGGCTGAGAAAGCAAGGTGCAGCATTGTGAGTGCACTTGACTCAGCTGTCTCTCAGGTCATATTTCATCTCAAGAGGAAATAGCAACCTTCGAATAATAAATCGTTATGGCGAGAGGGAAATGCATTTAGATTTGTGATGAAAGCTGACTGTATTAAACTGCTGACTGAGTGTTCATTTTCTGACATTGTGAGGAAAGGAGTTTGCAGCTTTCAGCACGAGGGTAAAAACATGTCTGAGAGAGGCCTTTGGGCAGGTCATCATGGGTGTATGAAATGACAGACGTACTATGTGATGTAATACATACATACACTATAAACATAGTGACAAACACAACAACAGAAAATAAAGTGCATTTCAATTTTAGTGGAAACTCCTATTCTGGGCAGCCTCCCTTTATTCTTCTGTCAGTTCAATTAAAATTTATTTATGGAGTACATCTAAAAACAGAAAACAGCTGCAAAAGTGCTATGAAAAAAAAAAAAAAAAAAAAAAAAAAATAGTTGAGGGATAGGGCAGATCTGATTGACATGGGCAGGCACAGTCAGGTCTGTGATATAGGCAGGGGCTAATCCATTGAGGGCTTTAAAAACAAACAGTAGCATCTTAAAATCTATTCTAAAACAAACCAGGAGCCAATGAAGAAAGGCCAGGATAGGGGTAATGTGATCCCTCCCCCTGGAACCGCTCAAAAGCCTAGCTACAGCATTTTGGACCAGTTGCAGGCGAGACAAGGATGACTGACTGATTCCAGTATACAGGGAGTTACAGTAGTCAAGCCTGGAGGATATGAGAGCATGGATAACTTTTTCTAAGTCACTGAAGGAGAGGGAAGGTTTTATTTTGGAGATGGTACAAAGCTGAAAGAAACTGGATTTTATAACTGCCTTTACCTGTCAAACTCGAAGGCAGAGTCAAAAATCACGGCAAGGTTTTTAGTATAAAGCTTTATGTAGGTAAAAAGGTGGCCAAGGTTATTGGTGATCAAAGAAATGGAGTTCATGGGGGCTAAAAAGAACAACTTCTGATTTGCTCTGGTTCAGATGGAGGTAGTTTAGAGCCATCCAGCTTTTTATATCCTAAAGACACTCTGACGCAGTTCAAAGTGTTGTCAGTTTGACAGTGGTAGATGTGTTTCTGAAAGATTTCATCTAAAGGCAGCATTTAGATGGCAAAGAGAATGGGGCCTAGGCCAGAGCTTTGAGGGACCCCACACGACAGGTTTGCTGGAGGGGAGGAAAATGTATTTATGTTGACTGAGAAAGCTTTATTTGCGATATTGGAGGTGAACCTAGTTAATGCGGCGTCACTAACATCAACATCATGCTACAGACAGGTTTATTAAGACGGTATGTTCAACAGTGTCACAAGCAGCACTGAGGTCTGGTAGAGTACGGATAGTACAGTTACTAGAATTGACAGTGAGGAGCAGGTCATTGTAGATCTTCAGTAGTGTGGGCCACCTCGAAACCTGATTGAAATTTATCTAAGATGTCATTTTTGTCAAAGTAAGGTAACAGTTTAGACAAATAATTTTTTCAAGGATCTTGTATTTTGAAATATGTCTGTAGTTACTGTGTAATAAAGGGTCTGGGTTAGGCTTTTTAAGGTGGGGCTGGACCACAGAGTGTTTAAGGCAGGAGGACAGAGAGCTGTTTATAATGAAAAGGATGATAGGCCTTTGACCGATGAAGTCAAAGGCCTGTCAGTACTGTAAAGAGGTAGAGCAAGAGTGAAGGGGGTTTCCATTATATAAAAAAAAAAAAAACTTCTTTGTACTTTAAATACACAGTGGATGACTTTTAAAACCTGTAATCAACTGTTAAGTTACAATACACTTTAAAAATCTTCAACAGGCATCTCCTTTGAATTACAATTATCACTCTACCTGCTTTAATAAGTAATAATTATCAGTGTTGGTGTTTTATAATTAGTGCCTCTAGAACAGGAAAAATATAGGACATCATTCTGGGCCAGAAAAAGAATAGTGTCAATAAGAATTCTCCTTTAAAGTGATTTAACAATGTGAATTATACCACACAGCCCACAGTTACTGAGGGGCTCGGGGACCATCAGAGCAGAAAGCTGCTTTTCTTCATATGTGATGAATAATAGAAGTGCATGTTGGGGCCTGTCTGGACTGCCGTCTCTCACCTCCTTCTCCGGCTTGTGGAAGTGCTTCACAATTCCATTGATGGCCTCTCCCACTCCCTCTTGGATCTGACCTGTGTTTAACTCTGGGTGAGAAGAAAAAGGCAAACAAAGGCGTTGTGGAACAAAACGACCAGACACACAGAGAAAAAAACACTCCCATCCAGGTTTTATCCTGTTGTCATTATGTTTTCTCATTCATGCATTTGAATTTTTACCAGTGAAGGTATTAAGAACAAAAAGTGGGCAACACTGCTGTGCCATGTTTCTAAGATAACTAATGAATCTCAAACTGAGGAGAAAAGAGGAAAATCCAGAGACCGATGTTTCCTCTCAGCTAGAATGTAACAAAATGTCTACACAGCACTGTTATGAAGGAGTTCACATAGATGACCTATGTCTATGCAGCTGAGTAACTTACTTGGTTTGCTGTTTGGCGAGATGGTAACAAACCTCCTCATCATCCCTGGGGACTGCTGCATCGGGGGTGTGCGGCACATCCTTTCATCGTTCTCTGTGCTGGGGGTCATTAGCTCTCCCACCAGGATCCTCTCCAGACTGCCATCATCCACTCCCTTCCCCAACCACCGGCCACACGGAAACCTGTCCGACAGACACAGCGAGTTCACCTTTCTGAGAACTGTCTGGTCAAAGCGATATCAGTGACATTTTCCTCACAAGGTATGCTTACTTGTACGTGTGTCCTGTGATTTCGTTACGGACCATAACACACTCCACAAGCCACTTTGCGTAGAGCCCTGTGTTATCATGGCCCATCTGTACTGTGGTGAGTTTGCCCAGGTTTTGGCACTGAGAGAAAGAGAAGCGTGTTCGTGTCAAACACCTAAACCAAATCTAAATTCAAAACGCAAGACATTAGCTCACACTGTTAAAGGAATTCTGGTTCATTACAACTTGGTCTTATTTTCATAGTTTTGGTCATTCTTAACTATAGTTTGTTGAGTGAAAAGAAATCCAACAGGAAAAAAACACTGCTATACCAGACATCTCTGAAAGAGAAAACAATGGTGTACGGTAAAATTATTAACCGACTCCATTGTAAACATTCAATACCAGGATCAACATTTAAGATCAACTTTGAGCTATCATACAATTTTATTTGCAAAGAGTTTTTTTTTTTTTACAGACATTTCGGTCCACTCACTTTCAGTTTTACCTCCACTCACTTTCAGTTTCACCTTCAAATAATATGGTTTAGATAATTTGGGTAAACAGTTGGCAGCAGCACTTACAGTACAGTACACTGTTAACAGAAATGATGACTAAAACTACAAAGTTGTAATGAAGTGGAAATACCCTTTATCAGAGACTTAACACCAACCTCGAAAGTGATCTCCAGAGTATTTCTGGGGACCTGCAGGACTCCAGTCTCTGCCAGCTCACCAGAAACACACACCCAGGGGTTGGCAGTGAACATAGAGCCACCAAGCTTCTTACTGGGAACAACCACCACATGGTAGGGTATCACTGGGAGACAAATAAATGAAAACGTCAAATAAAATAACAAAAAAAATGGGTAGTTTACTGACATTGTTGTCAAGCTGTTTGGCATCGAAATAGCACTCACTGATGGTTGTAAAGACGTTAGTAAAACAGAAGTAGTCCACAGCATTGAAGGACAGGAGGTGGTAAAGAAACTGCTCCTTCTCATCATCACAGCGGAGGAAGGCGTAGCGCTTGTACAGTTTTCTAAAAGAAAAAGAAAATGATCGTTTGAGAAAAGTGTAAAAATAAACACCAATTCTTATACACAGAAAATGAAATGATTTATATATATATATATTTTTTTTAAATGGTTCCATTCCTCAACAGTGTCAGTAGCATGGCAAATAGTATATTAATTAAGGGCAAATGAAGAACAAAGTGTGCATGGTTTGATATAAAGTAGAACAAATGACAACGTAAGGTCACAAAGGCAGACAGACATCCCTCTGACCCAGTTCACCACTCATATCAATTATGAAGAATGCTGTGAATTATTTATGTGGCGGTGGACAGCAGTATGATGCTTTGCAATTTCAAAAGAGTAAATGTATTATAAATGGGTACCTCACACGTCATCTTAATTTCATGTGAGACAGACATTCCTCCACAAACACAGAAAGAAGGTCAGGACAAGAAAATAGAAGAGGTAGGAAAAGATACTCTCTGATCTTTAAAATGTTATATCAAGACTCGTTGTTGTAATTAACTAATACTGGAAGTGTGTGTTGTTTTGCTCACTTTGTAAGCTCATGGTCTGAAAGCAGCTGCTTCAGGTGTCTGGAAAGCAGCTTCTTCTCCATGGAGAGGCGAACCCAAGCTCTGGCCTTGCCCACATCTGTCTTGATCTCGCTGATGTTTTGAATGTGTCTGAAAAATAAAATGACAGATCGAGATGTCAGAAGATGAAATCACAAAAGAAAAAAGAAAATTAATGGATCGTTCTGAGACAATGTAGGAATCTGCCAAAATAAAAAAATCTGTGTGTTGATTATAATTAATTCACTTGAATGTTTTGCCCCCGTGGTGTAGACTGATGTCTGAAAGAACCGATCAGTCTCTAATGATTTTTTCCCAGGTTGAGTATTTTTATACGTCTTGCAACATGTCTGGAGGGGACCTTTAAATGCATCACGTGCATCAATGGAGATGCACCTAAAGAATTTGTAACATAGCATCAGCTTGCTGTTTTGCTGGTAAGTTTTATAGCTGCCAAGAAAGATTTCTGCTATGAACAATGTTTACAAACATCGAATAGGATTATAGACATGCTGAATGCACCTTGGGCCAGATGAAGCTAAAGGCAACTGATGCTCTTGATTTCAAGGTACACTGCCGACAAGAGCATTAAGTAGTGAAGTACTGAGAACGGTACTTGTTACCAACAAAACACAATCACTTAGCACTTGGTTACTCAGTTCAGTTTGGAAAATAGTGTCTGTGCACTTTTATGTATTGACAACAAGCAAATGTTTGGAGTAGCTATTAACAATTACATTCACTATCAATTAATCTGCTGCTCTATATTTTGATGAATCAATAAAGTCAAATAAAGTCCATAAAATATCACACAATGATGAAAAACACAAGTTTTCAAAACCTGAAGTCTTAACATTTCTTGTTTGGTCCAACTAGCAGTTAAAAACCTAAAGATTTCACTTACAGTGATATAAAGCAAAGCAAATCCTCACATTTGAAACACTGCAACCAGTGGACATTTGGTATTTTTGCTTAACAGAAAACTGTTATTGGACAAATTAAATAAGTGACTAATCATTTCAGCATTACCAGTGTTATTTTAAAACTCTGACTTAAATACTTATACTGTGTTAGTATTACAAAAAAATTAAAGTATTTGTATCAATTTTAGGTAAAAACATATTACAAAAAATATTCATTTTTCTTTACAAGCAGCAAAGCACACGTACCCTGCGCGTAAGCTACAAAAAGGACAGTATCTGTGTCAGTAACAATAAATCTTTATAATTTTCGTGACTCTGTCTTTCCCAAGCACCACTCAGCCTGAATCACTGTTACAGCCAAAGACATGAATGTCTTAGTCTGCCTCTCAGACTCCCTGAGTGTGCGAGTCGGTCCCATGCCATCGCTCCAAGCCACTATCATGCCTCCGATGTCCAGACACATTCCCTTCCACTCCACCTGTGCCATAAGCTCGTCTGCTAAGAGCTCGTCATGTCTCCTCCTCCAACCCCCTCACCATCTCCACCCTCACTCACACCATGTAACCCAGTTTCCTCTGCTCGTTATCTCCATGGCAACAGAGGAAAACATCTACTATGTGCACTATTAATGTTAGTCTCTTACCTTGAAAATGCTGGGTAACAGATAAAAGGCCATCATCTATAATGAGCTAAAAATGTGAGAACTTATAATATGAACGTAAGTTTTTAGTAAAAATATGAACTGCCTGTTCAGACAATATCATCAATTATTACAACTCATCAAGGGAGGGTGGTAGTTGCTTGTGTTTACGACCATGGCACCAGACGTTTGCATGGAGGAGGGTCTGTGTATCAGCAGAGTAGAGCTGAGTGTGCCCCCTGAGTTGACCCCTCCTCTCTTCTCAGTCAGACTGGCGGGGGGTCTGGTAATTAGGCTGGAAGTAACGTGTTCTTACACAGACTCACTCTGCGCCGCCCTCACGCAACACAAGCCCCGGCTCCTCAACTCTGGCTGAGTACGGTAGATAACATGATGACAGTGGTGGCTGCCATCACTCACAAAGGCACACAGGTGTTGAAGCATGCATGTGTGCCACAGAGGCTCTCAGTGTCACTGAAAGGCTCAGTGTTTTTTTATTGCATATAAATACAATCAAGTAAAAAATGTTGAGAAAAATGGGGTCTGGGACGGTGATTGTGTAATTGCAGCGTGCCCATTTTATGTGTGGCCGGGCCATGTCACCTCCTCTCTCTTTTCCCTCATTTCCAGTCTCATACCTCACTATCTGCTATCTAATAAAATGCAAAAAGTCCCCCCACCCTGAAAAAATTATAAAAAAGGGGCAGAGCTTTTTCTATAACTGCACTGCTACTATGAAATGACCTGCCTGCTTTCTTATAAGCCTTACAATAAAAGCTGGCAAACTTGCATGTGTGTGAGACTGTGTGTGTACGTGAATGTTTCTGTGCATGTTTATATATCACTGTATGTTTATGTAATGTATGTGTACATATATGTGTATTTGGTATTTTACTATTATTTATCTTAGTATTTGATCTTGTTATATTGCCTCATGCTTGCACTCACTACAGGACAAAAACATAAACCCAATTACATCAGCCAAAGCACAATCAGGTCATGCTTTTGTTTTGTTGAACTATTTAGAGACGTACAGCATTGAGTTATTCTGTGATAACATTTGAAGTCTTTAATATTGTGTGGAATTACCATGTGTTTCTGTAATATAGGTGATCTTTGATATTTGTTACTAAACTTAATACTGTTTTTTGTACAATGCAGGTAGAACTGAAACAATGAACTGATTTTTCGACTGGCACAAAATTAATCAGCAAAAAATTTGATACATACTTACTTGTTTGAATTATTAATCAAGCAAAAAGGCTGAGCTTTATCTTGCCCCAGCTTTTCAAATTTGAGAATTTGCTGATTTTTCTGTATCATTATTGTAAAATGAATATCTTTGAGTTTTGGATTTTTAGTCAGACAAAAGATGTGTACATACTCTGGGTATTTGCAATTTGTTTTATGACATTTTATGGACTAAACAATTATATGAAAAAAAATAGATAAGGTAATATTTATTATTCAGGTACATATGAGTTAATTAGTCTGTGGAGCAGAATGAATCTTGCTGACCTGAAACTTTTTATTCTTCACAGTAAACATTAACAGTGGAGTTACTAGTTTCTGAAGATTACGTCCTGTCAGACCAGTTGCTTTAAACAAAGCTTAACTCTCTTAACTCTTAAATTCATTTTATTTATTTAGCAATACCATGAAGCTTATGGAGAAGCCCTTCTGTATAGATACACATTAAGTCAAAAAAAAAATCCAATCTGATTACATTTGCCTAAAATAAAAGTTATGTTTGTTGTTGGTCGTTTTTAATTGCTGTGAGTATCTCTATCTGTAAGAGACACAAGTGGTAAGACTGAAACCAATATTTAAAACAGCCTGTTTCTTACATTATTTAATTGGGATATCCTTAGTTAAAGTTACAAATCAATTATTGGTCTTTTTGACCTCCTGAGAATCCTTTGATGATCCACTTGTGGATGTAGAGACTCCACTTAGACAACAGATTATCATGGGAACACAGTAAACTCTCAAGTAGTTTGTGACAGTTTGATGTTGTTTGACACTCTCCCACAGGGGGGCAGTCTTAGCCTTACTTGCCTCTGATGGTGAAAAGCAGCTGATGTATTTAAAAAAAAAAACATCTGTTCGTACACTGAATGAAATTAAGAGACACAATCCTTCATTCCTTTATTGAGATGAACCCCTGATATAGTTCCCCTCCCCTGTAAACGATCCCCATTCCTCCTCACCTCATGTCCTGGATCAGGGAGACTTTAAGAGGCGGCATGGCTGATCCACCACCATCAGATTTGCGTCGTTCAGTGTCATGAATGAAACCTGAAGTGTGAGAAAAAAGAGAGAGAAGTTAGGCAATTCCTCTGCAATTTGTTTATTAGTTGTGTACATGAAGTAAATTGTTTCAGCCTTTACCTGGAGGTCCCAAACCACCTGGAGTTGCATTCTTCTTCTCTTTGCTTTCCTGGTAGTGCAGAAGGTGGGACCACAAGGCAGATTTACCCTGAAAGAGGAAATATACTGTAGAGTCATTATTTGTTCTGAGAGCATCTTGCTGTGGAGGATTGATCAGATGCATTAGGACTGCAGAGGTTTGTGTTTCCTGACCTGTTTAACCTGCAGCCCGTGGCTCCAGATCCTCTCCAGCAGATCACACAGGCTCGCAATCAGAGTGTTCTCTTCAACACCGGTGATGCTGACCTCGCCGTGACCCAGCTCCACGGCCTCCCGACCCATCTTCTCTACCAGCATACGCTTGGTCTGCAGAGAAACAAACAGATTAACACACACACACAAACACACACACACACACACACACACACACACACACACACACACACAGCAATTACACAACACACACACACAACACACACAACACACACAACACACTACACAAGAAACTAGTTGTTACATTAATGAAATTATATCTTTGCTTGCCAGGACACCAGTCATCACCGTCATAAAATCGGGATTTTAAAAATGGACAGTGTACACTTCAAAGTAACTGATAATTGAAAACTAAACAGAATAAACTCCAAATGAATGATTTTCCATCAACTTTCCATTGCATCTCTCGTTCTTTGCATAAAAACGATCTTAACGCTAAAATCTTTACAGATTTGTAGAAACTGTGGTGAGTTTTAATCGACTAAAACAACGCAGCACTCATCAGCTAGAAACACAGACATTGTCAAACCTTGTTCCTGCACTCCTTCAGCAATCCTTCAACAAATTTCCAGTTTGTCTGAGCGATGACAGAAGGCGACAGGTTGGACAGTTTTGGCTGTCTGATGGTTGTGCCCAGGTTTCTGGCTTCCTGGATGTACTTCTGATACAAAACAGAGAGAGTGGAGTCAGCAATCCAATCAACTCAGGAAATTAGTGTGCTCAGGTCACAAGTGAGTTACTACAACATTTATTACAAACACTGGTCTAACCACAGAGCTAGTTTCACTCCAGAGTGGAGATAAGAGGGAACACCAGAATAACTTCAGTGTTTAATCACAGTTTGTTCTACAGTAAAAAAGTGATGGAGACTGTCTGATAATGGAATGTTCTGCCTTTTAACTTTCAGTTTTAGAAATTAGTCCAGCCAGTGTTCAGTAAATAGACTCAGATATTCAAATATGTAAGTCTACACAGCCTATTACAACGTTACGTTTCTGGTAGCATACACTAAATCTAAGCTGTGATCATTATAATAATGCCATTGTGATAATTATGCCAGACTTTCAGACATTGAACTAAACTAAACTAATACTCCCTATGAAGGGTGAAACTCATGAAAATGAAATGATGTTTATTAAAAAAATATTAAGTGCTTCAGGTGGCAGCTACGAGAGCTGGACATTTTCTTTGCTTTCATGAAATCACACTTGTAATAAACTCATGACATTACTCTTTGTTGTATGTTTCCAACCATACTGACATTGGAAACATATGATGAGTTAATAATAGGGCATATACACTGTACATCATTGTTGAAATGATTTATGAGCTGTACTTTGATAAACTAATCGTAATAATTGTGTCAGACCATCAACCCAAAAGGTCAAAAGAATTAACTTTCACTCACAAGAGATGTACTAACAAACAAACAAACAGAACTGGGATGAACAATTATAGTGTGTATAAAATATTCAGGTAATGAAGAACATAAATCAATTTTGAAGAAAATGTATGAAAATAAATGTATTTTGCTTTTATGATTTCATGTTTATGAGTTCCACCTCTCACAACCCCAGACATGATGACATGGCCTAGAAAGTGGGATGGATTATCAGCTAAAGCTCAGCTGCTGGTGGTGAAGGGGGGAGATGGTGAGGGAGGTAAAGACCACATGGGTGGACAGGTCATGTGGTCTGTGGACTACCAACACATACCACGTCCACAGTCACCGACTTTAGACAGGGCTTGAAGGACTGTGAGAGCCAGTAGTAGTCAAGAAACAGCAGGAGCTGCAGCTCCGGAAACAAACACTCTACATGCTGAGAGTGTGTGAACATGAGTGCAAGAGAGGCGGAGAAAGACAAAAAGAGACAGTGACCGGAAGTGTGAGGCGAGGGGGTAAGAGCGAAGTCAAAATAAAGCTAACAGAGAACACATCATGCAAAATGAACGAAGACAATAAAGCTCAAGCAGTCAATTTGTTTAAATATGAGCTGAGAAAAGACAACTCTGTGGGGACTTCTCCCACCTCTCTCTGGTCATTGTCTAAATAAAGGTGCTCAGCGTGCTGCTTCTGTCGGTCCCTCCTCCTCCACTGGGCGGGAGCACTCCTCTTGGTCCATCTGTATCACAGAACAACACAACTCCAGTCAGCTTTACAGACAAACAGCCAACAAGATCAGATTGAATTAAGGCATTGAAGGTTCATTTCAAGCAAATTCTAATGCGATTATAACATGAAATATTCACTTGTTGCTGGTGGGCCCGGTGGAGAGCACATCAGACTGCAGTCGGGGGAAGAAGCCTTGCTCATAGCGCCCCTGACCGATCTTCATGTCCAGCAGGTGGGGGTGGAGGGCAGTGTGGTCGATCTTTGACACTCTCATCTCTATGGCTTTCTCTGTGGTGCGAGATGCGGGGAAGGGGGGGCGGAAGTCGGTGGTGAGATTACAGAATGCATTCATCATTTTCATTTTGTTCATTTGCCCAAATCATTGTGTTTTCATTGTCAAGACGAGAGTGAGTCATAGTCTGTGGCATTACAACATGTCTTTGTTAACAATTACAATTCATGAGATCATCTGGTCATGAATTTTGCATGTTGTCAAAGTGACTGCTCCAACAGCTTATCATTTAGGATTGGTAAGTAAAACATTTTAAGGATGTTGCAAAAAGAAATATCCTTGCCATTTGTACAAATACAATGCAAATAAAAAGAGAGAAATAATATATAAGGTTATCCTGTCTTGAAATATCCCACAATCAGAAACCCAGTAATTTTCTCTTTTTACTTTTTTTTTTTGCCCATCTTTTCATCATCATCTGACTAAGACGCTCATATTTTCTATAGCAAATTGTGTAGAGAAAACCAGCATAACTATGACTAAGAACCTTTCATCTCTCATTTAGTAAATGATTGACAACAGAAGAAAGAGAACAAGTTAAAATAGAAAAAAACATTTTCTCTTTTTTCTAAACACCCACAGAACCAAAAGAAGTGACAGAATAAAGGCCCAGAATTTATATTTTGTTTTTTTTAAGGAACCATTTCATCCATGAATGCAGCTTTAGACAGTGTTTTTCTGATGCCTGATTACAACACACCCACATGAATAGGTTACTTCATGTACTGTATGTAAAGACAAAACAGACACGGTGAGATATAAAGAAGATGTAAAAATGTAGCATGAAATAGGTGAAAAGTAGACTGACTGTCTGAAGCTGCGATTCACAGGTACAAAGATTTAAATCCCTGAAAAGAATTCATTATCACCAATTCACCTGCATGCTGCAACTATAAAGAGGAGTTTTTAGAGCATTTAAGCTTAGTAAAAACTGACATGCGTGCAATGCATTAAGGATCTCACGGAGGAATCTTGCATTTACAGTGAGAAGTAAATAAATAGTGTGTTCCGAGTTCAAGGGAATAGTTATTATAATTCATTATTAATTATGTAATTATAATTATTATACAGACAAGTTCAAATGAGGCTCATCCATCCTCTATGAGTGTACCTATCTCAATGCACTGCACACATGTTCAAAGAGCTGCCATTCAGAGATATTTGAGGTCACGGGAGCAAATATTACGAAGGTGAGTCTTGTCGTCCTCGAGCCCAATGACATGAGGTCCAGGAACAACAAAATCAGCTTTCTCATATCGTTTTTTAACCAGGTTGTCTGCAAACAAGACAGCAGTTACCAGTCAGTTAAGTAAAGAGAGCAAATCTCCAAGTCTGAGAAGAAGTTCACACATTCAAATTAATTTTTAGTGACTCCCATTTGGATTGGATTTGGATTTAAGGGCTTCTTTAATTACATTCAAAAAACTTTAAATTTAAATTATTTTTTTGGCTTTAATCCAACATTACAGAGGTCCATTTTTTTACAGTCTCAAGTTAATATATTATGGTGAAGCTATTCATTTTCAAACTAAATCCTGTGGCTTTATCACAGCAAATCAGTTTTCCTCATTAGAGGTGTTCATACCAGGACAAAGACAGGTCCAGAGACCTGAAGCATATTCATAAATGTGAGTACAACATTTGGTGCTATGAAAGCAGTCCAATTATGTTCAAAAAATTTCAAAAATATTTTTTATTGTTATGAAATCCACAAAGCTTTCAAGGATTTCCGGGACTGATCTTTTATCCTTACCCGCTTCTTCGATGTTTGTGCATTTCTGGTACATCGAGGTGCGAAGCGTGGGCGTGCGGACGTTCAGCATGCGAATCTTATCCACACGGGCGTCAAACACCCTCAGTGTGTGCTCCTTCTCCTCATCATCATGACAGAGGATCTTACTATCGATGAAGGAGGCAAACATCTGCGTCTCCAAGAATCGTGACAGGAAGGGCAGGTAGGGCTCTGGCTGGTCAGACAGGAAGGAGGCCTGCAAACACGCACACGCAAATATGAAGGATGGAAAATTCAATGCCATGAATTATAGAATACCCTTCATTTTACTACTAACAAACCATCTATAGCACTTTACCTTGTCAAAGTTCTGCATCTGGTCTCGATTGGTGAACCAGGACTCTTTGTCCTGGCTCGGCTGTATGACAAACACCTCATAGTCTGCGAACATCTGGGTAAATCGGTTGGCGAAGACCTCGCGCACTTGGATGTTGAGCTGGTGCATCTTTAGCTCCTCATCGTCACACTGAACCCGCATGTCCTTATTGCTGCTGGCATCCTCCCTCACCTCCAGCTGTTGTGCACAAGCATTCATTAATGCATAAACACACACAGGAAAAGTACAGACAGTATAAACAAAAGGGAAAAATGTGTGAGAAAGAAGTGAGAAAGGAAAGAAACAACATGTGTATATTTTTCATGTTATCTTATCTGACTGTTATCACAGGCCGCTGATGAAGCAGCAGGGTTATGGGAAAGGAAGTCAAGGACATCTGGGATTTATGGCCCAAATCAAACTGAAACACAAGCTCTTTTTTTAGCATGTCAGTGGGTCAGCTGGACAGACACACAGAGCAGGCCGACCACTGTGCGCGCGTAACTGAACAACAAAGTCACAATCCAGTGACGTGATCCAAGAATCTGTTTAATCACTGACTTCCCTTGAATCAAACTCAGCAGTGAGTTTAGATAAGAATAATTATAAGTGAAGACTGACCTCATACATGCAGACATTTAGCTAATCCATTCATGGAAGACTATTGCTGGCACAAGTGCATAAGCTGATTAGACTGCACATACAGAGACTTTCTCTAATTAGCAGCCAATTGATCCATGCATCAGTCTTTAGACCAAGTATTTCATTATAATACTTACTACGGTTTGTAAGATACTCAAGCCAAATGGAAATGAAACTGTAAAGATGCCAACTACATCTGTTGATGTCAGTGTTTATAAAAGGCTTTGATCATCTAGGCTGTGAGATATCCACATTTTAAAGGCAACTGGAGTTGATGAACTGATGAAGTGTCTTGGATTAAGAGCAAAAACACCTTCAAGATGCCACAAGACTGTGGGGGGGGGGGCTTAACACAACACTGAGGATTCTATTACACTAGAAACTGTTGAATATGATGAATATGATTATTTTGGCGAAAAATATGTCAGTATCATATGCTCAATTCATAAATAATATCAAAACAACACCATTCCTTTTTAAAGCACATGTTTATGGAAAAAATGTAATTTAAATAACTTGTATTTTCTCCTTTTCTGTCTGTACTCAAAAAACATGGTTCCGGTCCAGAGTGTGATAGAAGGGCCCCCCCTTTTGTTTACTGTCCTGTACTGCAGTAATGGCAGGAATACTGTTACTATGCAATAAACCTTTGCATTTTTTCAGTTCCTGTAGAAGTATTGTCACATTCCCTTTCCCTACGTTTTGCCCTCTATATTTTCTAAAAGCTGGCAACACAAACTGGCACATACAGTATATGAGATGACATTCATTTGAGATGAAAATGTATTTACAGTGCAAAGTATTTGTATCAACATACCAACACTCAAAAGCTGAAATAAAAATAATAGAGCTGTAGAATGTAAGAATTTAAAAACTACATTTACATGGCAGGGGTTAAAACTGAGATCACTGTTATTTAAATATTGGTCTTAGTGATATAATGAAGCTTTATCATTAAATAATTTATTAGCATCATTGTTATATTGCACTTTTAGTATCTAAGGTCTAATATTATATATATTAGACCAATTTATGATACGCACTCATTTGTGCACACATTTTTAATTTATCACGTCATTTCTCACCTTCTCCAGGCTGACTCCTGTCCTCTTGACCAGAGCCTGCAGTCTGGCGATAGTTTCGTTCTCTCTCAGCAGGTAGGAGTTGAGGGGCGAGGCCAGATTGCCATTGCGCTTGTCAGAGACCATATCAACAGATCGGAAGCTGCGGTACTTGGCCTGGCTGTCGCTGGAGTGAATATTTCCCTCTGGAGACACGCCGAAGGACATGAGCACCTCTGAGATCTCCTGGATGAACTCTAGCTTGTTGGGAAACTGGGGTAACTCTTCTGGCAGTTCGATGAAGTGGTTATCGATGTCCACGAAACACAAGTTAGCCTGAAAAGAAAACAAGGGACAAGATAATTAACTATCAAAAAACATGTCTGACAACACTTTCTACTTTATACACATCTGTCTTTGTATAAAATGGGAAGCAAGAGACTTGTTCCTAATGAGCTTACTGATGACTGTCAAACTGGAATGCCATGCTGAGAGTAGTAAGTATGGAGGTTAAATATAAAAAGGCATAGGTTCAAAATATCATGAATAACTAGATACTTAAACAAAGCTTAAAAATGTGGCCACAAAACTGTCAAACTGTCCTACACAAGAAACACAAGACACAAAACTGTTGCTCTACATGGCTCGTGTCAGTAATGATAAACCCACGTGTTCTGATTGTAAATAAAAACACTGGCAAGCTAAAGCGAGAATGTCTGGGTTCCTAAAGACAACTAAAGACAACGAGGTGCTCACACTACAACATGAAAATCCTACAACTGTGAATTTATCAGCAAATTACAACCCTTTCAAAAGTCAACATCGTGAACACGCTACGATGCGTCTGTACCTCCTGTGGCAGCTCTAGCTTGGTGCGGTCATCCTGTCCGTTGGAGTGGAGGCCCATGAGATACGGCACAGGAGCGTCCAGGAAGTGGAGGAGGGAGGCAGGCAGAATGGGAACGTACACATGCTGCCACTGGAAGGGGAACATTAAAGCCGTGATGCTCTCTGCCACCGTCATCAGCCTCTGGTAATCTGTTTCACACACACAAGCACACACACAAAAAGTGAAGGTGGTGGAGCAAAGGCCGCAACCACGTGAAAGATACTGTACATTCGAGCAGTATATACAGTACAGTGCAGATTTCAGGGCTCATTTCCAGATTTGGTTATTACTTTAAAACCTTGGTGACTGTAATGACTTTGAGTGATCACGTGTGTTCCAACATGTTTTCCTGATTAGTGTTTTTTTCAAAATCAGTATTTGCAAATGCCTGTTCAATGACATGTTAAGTGGTAAATTCAACATTTACTGGACACAACGGACTTTTAGTGTTTTCTGTAAACTTTAAAAGGGGAAAGCCGCACTGAAACCTGCTGGTGTATTGCTTGTGATGGACAGTCTTCAAATCAAAGAGCATTTTTGGGGCAAACTCAAAGAAAAACTTGTGATGCAACTCTTTTTCCATGTGTTATTCCCCAACACCGCCTTTGCCTGATAAATCTTGTTTATTGCTCCAAAACACTTTGGCCAGTGTGTGTGACATGCATGTGACAGAAAAGTTGCGCAACACGACCGTCTGTTATTGCAACAGGATTAGGTTTTTTTCATGCCTCAGCTCTTCTGGTTGCTCTTTGAGCGTAAAATCCATCAACTGCCTCAGGTCGCATGATAGCCAGTCCATCCTGCTATGTTTGCAGGAACCACAGTGTAGCCACACAGCTTCGTCCAAAACATTAGCATTAGCTTTGTTAGCAAGCAAAGCTGAGGGCATCTTCTGACGTATGATTTTACACAGCTGACAGACCTGCCGCAATATCACTGACTGGCTGGAAAGAAGAATATGACTGAAGGTTTTCTGCCCTGTGTGATTCAGGATTTAGGAGCACAGGCGTAAACCCTGTGAGAACAAAAAAGACTATCATGACATGACAAAAAGAAACACACAACACTGCTACAGTGTTAACTCTTTACTCCGGTTATCTTTGTGATTCTGTGTTCTGTAAATGTGATAGAAGAGTTTGACCAATGACCAACCTTAAAGGAATTAAGTGCGATGACACATACTGTGTCCAAATTTAGGGAGTGGCTCCTGTGTAACTTCACAACATGGCCTGTTCCATTTCAGAGACTACAAATGCAGCCAAGACTTGGGGTCAAAAAATGTTTTAATTTGGAAAACACTTCTGGTGTATCCTTTACAACCTTTAGTACTCTATGATCCATCAAGCACTGGATAATTTTCTGGAGGGCGATTTTCTTTATTTAAATTGAGTATTTTGAGTATTTTGACATTGTGATAATGTCACTGTAAATGTCACAACTACTAGCGTTAACTTGTGATACACTTACATTTTTTAAACCGTTGTCTACATAAACACACCATCAGTTTGCACTCTGTGGCGCTCTATCATTTCATTTGAAAAGGAGGATCCTCTGAAGGATCTCTGTGGCCTGCATCCTCTGGTGGATCCAGACTTCGAACTGTGAGCACAGCTACAGTCAGCTGGTCCTGTGGCTAACGTTAAATTCCTTTGTCATGACTCCACACAGCAACACTCCTTCGTGTTCAGGATTTCACACTTGAGTCAACTGGTATACATGCAAATATGTATCCAGTCCTCCTCATCTGCATTCCTGCTCTATCCAGTTGACACCTACTGTACATTCAGCAGCAGCTCTGCTTCTCCTGTTATGGTGCCAAAATAAATACCATTCCTTCTTTTGGTCATGTGCTGGTCCATGAGAAGAGACTCTCACCCCAGCCAGGGCCCCCCCCCCCCCTATCAGCAGCTTCCTCTCCCAGGACAGGGACAAGAATACTAACATCACCCGTCTGCTCTTAAACTAGGTCACCACGACAAGAAACTACTTTAACTCAACTCGCAGGGTCACATACTGCTGCTTATACGCACAGACGCATGCCAAGAAAATGTTTTAAATGTCCACACTGAGAACTGGTTGCAGCTACGACCTGAACTGATGCTTGAACGATTCAGTTTACAAACTGAGTGCAACCGTATGCACCACAGCAGGCTAAAAATACACTGAACACACAGAAGTGAAAAAGTGCTATAGATCTTACATATCAGCACTATCCTGATCAAATAGCTTGTTTGACAAAAATGTGTGTTGCTCGTTTAAACAGCCCCAATTTCTACCAGGGCAGTAAAGGAGGCTGCTTGCTGATTTTGACCATTTAATATTTTCCTTTGGTCACAAGTGAATGGAAAAGCTAAAAAGTGATATATTTTGCGCATCCTGCAGACATGTAGTCAGACGGCGAATGTGCATACGTTTGCAGTCCAAACCAGGGCTGCAAGTAATGATTATTTTAATTACGGATTAATCTGATGATTATTTTCTCGATTCATTAAACATTTGTTTGGTCTTTGAAATGTTAGAAAATAGCGATTAATCACAATATCCCAGAGCCAAAGATGAAAGCTTCAGATTTCTTGTTTTGTCCGACCAACACTCCAAAAACCAACTATGAGCCACCGCCTATGTAAAGTGCTATGAATCAAAAATCAACAAATGCTCACATCTGAGAATTTGGAACCAGGGAATGTTCAGCTTTTTTCCTTGATAAATGATTAAATGGTTCATAGATTATCAAAACAGTTGATTAATTGACTGAGGGCGAAACTACATAATTAAGTTAACTGATACTGCAGCCTAAAGAAAAAAAGTAAAAACCCAGAGTCCTCTGACTAAAATTGATGTTAATAATATCATGTTGAGAGGCTGTAAAAACATTGAGGGTGGAGAAGAACCACCGCAGGTTTTATCATTAATGTACATCTGCCAGTTGAAGAAAAGCTGGCACAATATGGTAATGCTATTCCCTCATATACAAAAAGGTAACATGAAGGATGAATTACTAAGTAAAAAGTGTGATCGTGTGTGTGTGGATAAAAGCTGAGCTCAATTCTGTATCTTAAGGCGACAGCCAAACACACTGTGTTGACAGAGCTTCAGATTTGTGCTTTTAAGCTTAATTTCAAATGAAGTCTGAATCTCTGTGTCTGAAATGCGTGCTGTGTAATTGCAGCATCTTCAGCTCAGATCTCTCCTGTCACTCTCAAATCCACAAATCACATAAAGACAGAAAATGTCCATGAAACAAATGATGACAAATAATGGCTTAATTGCAGCATGTCAAAATGGCTGACACATGAGTGACACATGATGAGCTTCCTATTTGTGAAGGAAGGGAGAGGCAACAGACAGCATTTTAACATCTTTTTAATGGCTTCATGGAAGAGATGCTGGCCAAGATTTTTTCCCTTTTTTTTCTCCTTTTTTTTTTTTTTTTTTTTTAAATCAACTATTTTTAGCGCATAATACACAGTCGTCTCCTTATTTGCAGAGCATCCCTCTCCTCAGTGTGTGTTTGAGCGTCTTTTCCTAACAATCCCTCGTTTCTTCTCAGTGGAGGATTGCCAGGGCTTAACTCTACAACACATCCTTCACATGTTCTGCAGCGATGAGCCTCATGGGGGTGAAAAAAAAAGAAGCATGATGTCACTTCCAACCAATAATAATCATCCTGCATCACAGCTATCCTCCCTGTCTCTGCGTTGCCTAGCAACACCACAGCTTTCCCCCTTAAGAGCTGCTCCCCCTGGCCCCTGGCGTTTTGTAAACCATTTGCCTTCCCTTGCCATTGTAATGGATCCAATCACCACACCAGACGTAGCACCCTTAAATGATTTTCTTGCTTCTCCTTGCGAACATGGTAAAACACAATGGTGAATGGTTTTTCTAAAAACCTATTCTGCCTGGTAAAGGATGGTATGGATTAACTGAATATTTACTGTACAGTTACCATTTATGAGTAAGTACTAATCTGGCTAAAGCACTGTATTTTTTTAATCAAAAGCTCCTATCAAATTAAGCAGCTGATTGTCAGACTTGCTGTGTGTTTTGTTTAAAGGATGAATCACACTCAAGACAAATCACAGCTAATAAAAATGGCCTGCTTAGCCCACGAACCTACATAGCAACTTTCACATGAAAAAAAACCTCTTGCATGTGAGTCCTGGCAGTGGGAGCTGCCTGTAATGGTTGAGGGGACTAACATTTACCCAGGCCGGTACTCGCACTGCATCACTTTAATGGAAACACTCAACAGGTTATGTAATCTCCTGGATAATAGTTCTGCCGTGCATATCAAACATGTTGTAGCCTCAGGTTGTGGTTTTTATTCCCATACCACAATCATCTAGACATTTGAAAGAATGAAATTTCAGTTTGTGTGTCTGACTTTTTCTATACCTTTCCAAAACCGATTCACATTGACCGCCATGATTGGTAAGCTGTTTGGAGGCAAGAAAGGAGCCAGGGATTTCTCTCTCTTGCTCTTTTTTCTTTCTTGACACAGCTATTCATTTCCCTTTTCAAGTGAACAATGAGTGCTACACTATGAATGTCCACCAGGAGATACTGTCTGAAAATGTGTCTTATACCCTTTTTAAACAATATCTTCAATACCCCAACAATACCCCCTCTAAATGATGTCTGGCTCCTCGCCTTGCCTTGGAGTTTGGCCATTTAGAACAACAGTAAATACTTAAATTTGATTGATTTCTGATCAAGCGAACCACCGGCCTTATGAGAACCTATCAAAGTCGTACAAGGATTTCCATTATATTTAAAGCCAGACAATAGAAAAATGTTTAAATCATGATGTTTATGACATAATAAAAGTGAATATCTATAACTCAACTATATTTTTGCGCATCAGTAATCAAAGCCTTTTTCCCACCGATCCAAAATTAAAAACACGGCAGAAAGCCTTAAAGCTACCTCAGCTTGTAATAACCAGGTCCCCTGACAACATCTAGTCTCATGCCAAGACACGGATGTGTCTCTCGAGACTGCCCCTGCTAACAGGATCATGTGCCCTCACAATTCTCAAAAAACTGCAGTTAAGGATAAGGCTGGTAGAGGGGTGTGGTTTGGCCTCAGCTCAGGTGTGTGCGACTGGCCCATGGGTGAAGTGCCAGGGTTGTAATTGGCACACATGTTACCTGTTGACTGATTCTGACTCTCTCCTGTGAGAGCCAGAGGAGAACAACTGTCCTCCTCTGAGGAATATTTATACTTCGGAGAGCCTGGACTATAAAGGAGTCGCCAGGCGAGGTAGCTGAGGAGTGGAAGAGCCAGAGGAATGTTTGTGTTATAGAAGTGTGTGTGCGAGTGGTAATAACTGGACAATTTAAGTGGATTGATTGTGTGACTGTTCTGTGCTGGGTAGAACCTGCAGTAACACTGACATGAGTTACAGTAATGCATGACTTTTTCTGACTTTCAGTTCCCGCTATTTTGAAAACACGTGTAGTGTTGAGGATTTCAATGCAAGCCTGACTATTTTATTATTTGTCTTTAATCTTTTATGGTTGTAATGTGAGCAAGATGCACAGGTATTTGTAATAAATGCATCCCAATGGGACTGGATGCAAACATTGAGTGTAATAGTAGAAGACCAGCTACTTACGCTGTGAGTAGAGCAGTATCTGCATCTCCAGCAGGGCACAGGTGAACAGCTGAAGAACATTCTCCACACCCAAAAGATTAAACATTTCACTGATGGCAAAGTCAAAGAGTGGCAGCTCAGACGTGCTCGGCCTCTGACACACCACAGGCCCGTAGACGCCTGAGAACTTGAGGGAACGCCCGGAGGGTGGAAGCGGCACCTCATAGAGGATGTTGAAGATGTAGCTCTCCAAGGGGAGGGGTGGGGGCTGAGGTGAAGAGACAGCCTGGTGAAGCTGCTGCAACACCTTCCTGCACGCCTGAGCGAAGGCCATGGGTGTTATCAAGCAGATGCACTTTGACACGTACAGCGTGTCACGGCTGATGTCATACGAGTTGAAGCGCTGCAGTCGGGAGATGGCGGGTGCAGCGTGGAGCATGGGACGAGGCTGGGAGTGTTGGTGTCGCTGGTCCTCGGGTCCCTGTGGTGAGGTGGGAGTGTGCAAGATGTCGTACTGCTCCGCGTTGTGCATGTGGTAAAGCGTCTGCATGGCGCTGCAGATCTGCTTACTGGTCACCTCCTCGAAGAAGGTGAGGGAAAAGCCGTAGGTCCGAGAGCCGTCCTCTCTGGTGATGATAAAAGAGTGGAACTGAGGCTCCCGAGAATCAACCTGCGTCCTGAACGACAGGCCCTTTGGCATGCAGAGCTGTGAGAGGACAGACAGAGAGAAGATTGAGAGGGACAAAAGACGACAGCAGAACCTAATTCACTGAAATTGTTCAGTAGCTACATGAACAAAAGTTCGGTGGGTGAAATTTATTCTGGACCAGAGCTATTTTACACAATCTTATTGTCCAAATTAAAGGACATTTTGGGCAATACGTTTATTAATTTTCATTCATGAGAGTTTGATTACAACATCAACACCACTCTCATGTCTGTTCACTACGTGCAGAGCTGGAGACGAAAGGCAATTAGTCTAGTTTATCATCAAGACTGGAAACAGGGGAAAAAAATGTAGCCTGACTCTGTCCGAAGTCCAAAATGACGCCTTTACCAGCACCTCTAAAGCTCAATAGTATGACACATCTCGTTTGTTTAACAACAAGCTGTTTACAGAAACAGTAATGTAAAAATGCGTTCCTCCCTTAAAATGGTTTTAAAAGGTTTTAGACAAGCTCTCAACAAAGGTCACAAAGTCTTTACACCATGAAACTACTAAAAACACACAAAAGCATTTTCCCAAAATGTTGAATTATTCCTTAAATGATTCTAGGCAATTTAATAAAATAAGTTACTGATATTTTTCTTTTATGCGTGTTCATATTGTCTGCAGAAATTGGAACACATTTCAATGCATTAAACACCAGCTTTATTTATGGAATGTTGCACACACTTTAACACACATATTAACTTTGTTATACAGATTTCAACCTTATCACCCAGCCGCACTATTATTCTAAAAAGGATATGGTTGATTTTTTTAACTGTATAGAGATCGTACCATGCCAACTGCATCCTGGTCAAATGGATTCCACTCGACATTGTCTGGATAATGTGCTAGAACCTTGGATTTAAAGGTTCTCCGCAATGGACTCTGCTCAAAATTCTCACCTGAAAATCAGAAAGACAGAGAGAGCAAAAACAAAAAGGAGGTAAACAGTTATCACAAGTTTCCAGATGTAAATGGAGACGCAGAAGAACAGTTTGATCAGAAGCAGGCTTAAAGTGCCAGGCACAACTCCAGAGGAAAGAGCAAGTCAGCATATTTGTCTTGAGAGGAAGACTGTATTGCATCATATAAAGCTGTCATCCGCAGAGAATCCGTAGAAAGTCAACAATACAAAATATTCAAGCAGGCAGCATCTAATACTACAATAATACAAAACAGATAGTTTATCAGAGAAAAAAAAAAAATCAACCAAACTTTATGGATCTTAATGCTTCCTGACAGCTTTAATGGCAATACAAGGAACAAAGAAAATAATCAATCATAAAAAAGGACAAACTGCGTTGATTTGAACCCAGAGTAAAGCAGAAGTGATGCACACACCAAGGCAGTACTGAAAAGTCATTCAGAGTGTAGGGGGAGAGTAAACATTGACCAAGCAATGCCAGCACAGGCAGCACTGGATTTGTGTGTGTGTGCGAGAAACAGAAGCAGTGATTGTCAAACATCAGCTCATTGTTCAGCTACTGCTGGGGGATGTGGGGGAGAGGGATGAGGGGTCGAGAGAAACCAGGAGGAGAGAAATCAGAGTGTGCAAATCAAAAAGGTGCAAGTCCCCACACCTGTGCAGAAAACAACTGCGAAAACTCAGACTTTGAAGTAACAAAAGAAGGGGGGAAAAAAAACAAGATGTGCCAGGTTAGAGGTTGAAGGGTTAAAGCTGAGCTCAAGGTTAAGAGGGGGAGGAGTGTGTGTGGTGGGAGGGTTACCTTCATCTGCCCCCGCCAATTTTCCTCTGGCCCCATCTCTGAATTTAGTAGCCTCTATATACTGGCATAAAGCTACACAACAAATAAAACAAAAATATAATTAAAAGCCTGGTTCTGGATGGGTAGCGCATCACTTCTCAGTTTGTGCAGACACATCCTTGCAGCTCTGCTCTCAGAACAAGCTGCACACACACACACACACAGGACATTATCGTGTCTTTGTCAGGTGGGTATGCTAATACAAAGCCAGCTGGTGGGGTTAGGATGTGGGGAAATGGTTTTTCTGTGCTGTAGTTTCTTCTTCTTCTGGAGATCAAGCAAATCCATACTGCTCTGATATGGATTATATTCTCAACACGAACGCACTGGAAAAGAACCAGCCAGTGTTTAACATGCTAGCAGCTCTGTGAGGCTCTACTTAGGCACAGCAGTGCTTTGAGCTAAATGCTAATGCCAGCATGCTAACATGCCAACAATGACAGTGCTAATACGCTGCTGTTTGACTGGCAAACTGTTAACCATGTTCAATACAAGACACTATAAGAAATCAATACAATTTATTAATCTTACAAACATTTATCATCTGTGTAGCTTGATATTCTTTATTCTTGATTCTTTATTTGGATCCCCATTAGCTTCCACACAGTGGTCGATAAAGCTTATTCTTCTCTGTAATAAAACTCTGATGTTGTGCAAAACAATTAAAACCCTTTGTATGTTACATGTTCCTTCATTATCACGAGCATGGGCATTGTGGTTTATTTTAAGTCAATCCCACAAACAGCGTCATATTGCTGTAAATACATGCTAGCACACCAAACGTGTATTAATTTGCAGCTATAAATAGCGCCCAACAAATACTCTCTCTACTCCTGTTTGAGCAACATTTGCTAAAAAAACCACAGTGCTCAGTTGTTCTAGGAAATTACTGAGTTTTTTTTTTTTTTTTTTTATTTCAGCAGTAGGGTTGAATGCTGAGTGCTACATATTATCTCATACTGAAAAAAAAGCATCAAGGTGTGGCAGATTGATCTAATATGTGTAACCATCGGTGAACAGTCATGGGTCTGACCACAGTGAATGGCAGCTGTTGTGCTGCAGACTGACTGGCCCTGAAGCTGAGTTAGATTATCTAACATTTCACATTAAAAAAAGGCCCCTTTATATGCAGTCACGCAATGCTTTTTGCTGTCCTGTTTCATGCATAACATTTGCCAAGCACCGATAAAATAGTCCTGCTGGCAGAAACACACAGTCATGCAGCATGTCAGAGCCAAATGTGTGCTGTGTGGCACACATTGACTCTTTTCTAGTTCCTCCATGTCAGCTTCAAATTAAAGCTGCTCTCAAGCTAATGCGGCCTTGTGAGATATGGAACCAGGACTTTTCTTGCTGGACTTTTTGTTGACTAGTTAGGGGTGAGGAAATTCATTTTCACTGCACGTACGACATGACTCAGTGGTGACACACAGAGTCAAGACATGATGTCTCTTTCAACTCTCTTCATCGATGATTACATCAATTCTCTATGTTGCATTTGTTTGAACAAGACATTTATGTTTCATCTTGGAAAACAACCAAGAATTTAATTTTGAGAATGACGGATGAAAGTTCTGCCTTTACTCACATAAAACGTTAACGTTGACAATATCTAAACACAAATCTATTAATGATCCAGTATCCCCTTAGCTCCACGCTTTAAGAAAGATGTTGAGTAAGTGCAGTCGACGCCTCCAGACAGCAGGTGTTGAGTGAAGCAACAAACAAGTTCACATTAGACTCTAGGTAAAGTGAAACGAATCCTGGCAAGGGAGTAAATGTTTTAAGGATTAAGTGGTATAATCTGTTGGTTACTTTCATATCCAAACTGCCCACAGCGAAGAAACTAGGCCAGGAATGCAACTCAGACTAGAAACACGTCAGCAACCAGAGATAGGTCAGACAGTGATGTTATTATGATAAGTAGGAACAGGGGGAAATGATTCAGGCTCCAAAATTAATGTTTAATCGCCATATTTAAGACATATAATTGTTGACTTTACTCGAAAGGATAAAAAAAAAAAAAAACAAGAAAAACATTAAGGGCATAGCTGAAATATCAAACTGACTTGTACGTGTACATGTCCACGTACACGTATATCACATTCCAAGACAGAAAGTGGAAACAGACATGCAACGCAATGATGTGACTGAAGCTGTTTGCAAACTCTGTCACGACAAAGTCAGTGATGTATTACAGTGATACAACAAACATCTGGAAGCATCTGGCTGTGACATGCAACACGTTGCTGTTCTTTTAAATTAATGAGAATTTAATGTATCATGGCTAATGATAATTATCACAGCAAATGCCAGCACAACATTACACTACACTTAGTGAGTACAATCCATTCCTGTCTGACATGTAAAGTAAGGAAAGGATAACACTGTGTTTTCCAAAGCTTCCTTTGTGAAGTCACTGGATTTGATATGACTGTTGTGATTATGTCTCTGACTCTGCGAAAACCCGACTACATGCATATTTAGATCTGACGTTGTCTTTTCAATCATCAAATACTTGGTTACATAGCGAAGCTTCATCTGTGGTGTATGGAGGGTAATCTTACTCAGAATTAAAATCAAATATATTTTTTATATATAAAATACAAAAATAAAAAAGAGAAAATGGCAGATAATGTATCTTCATATTGTACTACTCAGGATAATTAGGCCATAATTCAATGTTAAAAAGAAAAAGAAAACTGATAATCGAAATGACAAATGGATGTTGTAAAATGAAAATTTTAACTCCTGAAATGGAAAACAAATGTTTGTATAAGTCATGTATATGGTATAATTAAATGGTTTTTATGATATAATAACAGCAAAGAGCTTTTGGCTTTTACTTTTAATGCTGGTAAAATGATCCTCCATAGTGGAGTGGTGTTGTCCCTCGCACACCTCAACTGTCACAGCTTTACAACTAAACCCTCTTCCTTGTTTTTCCAGCTGGTTCAAGAGCAACTGGCCAAGACTACCCAGGTGTTTGTTTCAACCGATGTGTTCACCTGGTAATTAGTGCTAATTACAAGCTAACTGCCTCAGCTGGGGCGACTCGTCTACATGAGCACCAGCAAACTACAGTGTTGTTTACATTTGCTTGATTTATCATATTTTCCAGCAAATGGGACTGTGTTGCCATGAGAGTGTGGACCGGTAGCAGTGGGAGTAGAGCGTCACAGAGTTTTGGTGCCACGCCATTTTCCTGTTTCATCCTGTAAGCCAGGGACCACTCACAGCTCTGCAGGCCTCCTGCGCTCACAACACACCCTCACACCTCCTGTAGCATGGCCGACGGAGACATAAAAGGATGTACCTCTCTTACTGAACGGCTATATTAATACACGACTGGAGTTGACTGCCTCCAGCAGAATGTGGTGAAGACTCTGCTAACACTTCAAAATAGCTCAGCAGCAAAAACATCAACACTTATTCACCCGGAGGACCCGGCGCTGACAGAACATGATCGCTCACTCTCAGCTTAAACCCAGTCTTCACTCCCAGGAGACACAATGTGGGGTTTTCTCAATAAAAAGGACATTTCACAAACAGTTTCTCAGATTAATTTTTTTTCACTTGTTACAGTATTAGGTTCCTAAGATGGCACTTCATTTTAGAGCTGAAGCGATTAGACGCTTAATCGATCGACAGAAAAATAATTGGCAACTATTTTGATAATCAAATCATCGTTCGAGTCTTTTTTCAAGACAAAAATGACAAACATTTGCTGGTTCTAGCTTCTCAAATGTCGAGACTTACTTTGTCTTATGTGATAACAAACTGAATATCTTTAGGGTTTTGGGCTGTTAGTTGTACAAAAATAAACAATTTGATGGCACCACCTTTAGTTTAAGGAAATTGTAACGCACATTTTTCACAGGTTTTAAGATTTTATAGACCAAATGATTAATAATTTAATCAAGAAAAGAACCTGCAGATTAATCCGTAGTGAAAATAAACATTAGTTGCAACCCTACTTCAGTTTACTGAAAACCGGCACACAAACGTCGCTTTCATTCATCATTCAAATCAGTAGTTAACATCATTTACAGGCTACCTGCCAAAGATTCCGGCATCCTGTTTCTTTGATACCAAAAAAAGAAAAGCAAAAAAAAGTGGATGCTTTCAAAGAAAAAATTCCTTTAATTGCACTGAACCGGTTGGAAACCCAAATACTGGTATTATATAGTATCTTAACACTTCCTTTTAACACTACTTCTCTTCTTCTATTCATTCAGAAAAGACTATAGGACACACCTAATACTTTGTCATGTAATGTCAGTAACATATTAAAAAAAAAAACAGGTTGGGCCTTGACTCTTGAACTAGAACAAAGAAACAAACCCAATCAGAATTACAAATACCAGACATTTCATCCTGACAACACAGTTCACAAAACATCTGTTAGCAGCCGCAGGATTGGACTGCAGAGAAACCTAACCCATAGAAAATACACAGTCTTTCAGACAAGAATGTGCATGTTCATCACTCTGCCATGGCAGGAAAGAATGTAAACGTCCACCTTTCAAGAGCAAATCTGAGCTGGAACCATGACAAAGACTTATGCAAACAGGGACCAGCAATGATCAGCGAGGGAAAGAGACATTTCTCCACAGGGAATGAAAAATTGTATATAGGGAGAATAAAACTCAAGACGTTCTTTCAGAGCAAATTCAACCCCTAATACAGCAGGTATCAAATAAATTAACACAAGTCATGCTACAATAAACAGCTAAACAAGTTTCAGTGAAAAGACACACCTTACAAGTAGTTTTATAATTAACATCTGAATATATTAGGCAGTATGTGGTTAGGTAATATATTTTGGCATATCGAATGGGTCTGACTATAACAATACCCATAAGTCTCAGCTACTGTTGCCATAGAGGAGAAGCGAGTCAGGCGAGCAGCATAGTAGCAAATTCATCCAATCCAATTGGAATCCAATCCAATCAGTTTTCTCAATACTGAAATCTTTAGCTTCCATCCACCAACAGTGGCATACGTAACAGAATTTTAAGCTCTGTGGTTGG